TATTGCTGAATCCTGGCTTGGAGAATTTTGAGCATTACTTTACTAGCGTGTGAGATGAGTGCAATTGTGTGGTAGTTTGAGCATTCTTTGGGATTGCCTTTCTTAGGCATTGGAATGAAAATGGACCTTTTCCAGTCCTGTGGCCACTGCTGAATTTTCCAAATTTGCTGACATATTGAGCACTTTCACAGCATCATCTTTCAGGATTTGAAATAGCTCAAACGGAGTTCCATCACCCCCACTAGCTTTGTTTGTAGTGATGCTTTCTAAGGTCCACTTGACTTTATTAGCGGAGATTAAAAAGCTGCTTTTGGAGGAGACATGGCTAGAAGCTTAACTATCGTAGTGTATTTTTTTCTTTTCCTCTTATGGGAGCAGTATTTATTCTGTCGTATCATCAGCACCATACCTTGCAAGGCAGTAGCAGTAAATTAAAGGATTCAGCATTGCAGCAGCCAGCAAGCTTAGGAGGATCCTGACCCCTTGTGAACCTCCCAGGGTTGTGCCTTTCCTCTGCTGGCCCCATAGACTGCCATATGCACTGAGCCTGTGGGTTTTAAGCTAGGGAATGTTAGAAGTGTTCCACTGAAGGCCTTGTCTACTCATTTTCCAGAGGGATTTTTTCTCTGGGCTTTGTATTAAACCTTTATTGAGTGAAGAGAACTTGAGTATCCCCTGTATCCTATTTACCATTGTTAGATCTAGCTCTCAATCCTGTCTCTCTTTAAATCAGTGTGGTAGGAGTTCCTTAAAACTTTTGGTATATGGTGAGACTTTCACCTAATTTCTGGTATAAATATCAATTTCCTACTTATTTTAGAGTTATTTATGCATTTTTCCTGGGCTTTCTGGGCTTCCCTTGTGGTTCAGCTGGTAAAGAATCTGCCTGTAGTATGGGAGAACTGGGTTAGATCCCCAGATTGGAAAGATCCCCTGGAGAAGGACATGGCAACCCACTCCAGTACTCTTGCCTGGGGGATTCCATGGACAGAGGAGCAGGACAGGCTGCAGTCCATGGAATCGCAAAGAGTTGGAGACGACTTTGCGACTTTCATTTTCACTTTCATGCATTTTTCTGGGAATTTTAAATGAGTGGGAAATTAACTAAATGAATTTCTAATATTAGACTTAGTAAGAAATTACCAATAATTAACCTTAAGTATATTGAATTCAATATACAAATATTAAATGACATATACAGAGGGAAAGGGAGAATTGGGCCTTGGAAGAACAGAGAAGGTGTATTTACATCTTCTAATGAAGCCTTTTCAATACTCTGTCAATACCCATGGCCCTTCTTAGCTATTGTTACACTTGTGTGTGTGTGTGTGTCTGTGTGTGTGTGTGTGTGTGTGTGTGTGTGTTAGTACCTCAATTGTGTCCAGCTCTTTGCAACCCCATGGGCTGTTGCTGGCCAGGAGCCTCTGTCCATGGAATTCTCAAGGCAAGAATACTGGAGTGGATAGCTGTTTCCTTCTTCAGGGAATCTTCCCAGGGATCAAACCTGTGTCTCCAGCATTGCAGGTGGATTCTTTACCACTGAGCCACCAGGGAAGCTATATTAAATCATCAATCAGTTCAGTTCAGTTAAGTTGGTGAGTCGTGTCCGAATCTTTGCGACCCCATGAATCACAGCACGGCAGGCCTCTCTGTCCATCACAAACTCCCGGATGTTACTCAAACTCATGTCCATCGAGTCGGTGATGCCACCAGCCATCTCATCCTCTGTTGCCCCCTTCTCCTCCTGCCCCCAACCCCTCCCAGCATCAGGGTCTTTTCCAATGATTCAACTCTTCCCATGAGGTGGCCAAAGTATTGAAGTTTCAGCTTCAGCATCAGTCCTTCCAATGAACACCCAGGACTGATCTCCTTTAGGATGGACTGGTTGGATCTCCTTGCAGTCCAAGGGACTCTCAAGAGTCTTCTCCAACACCACAGTTCAAAAGAATCAATTTTTCGGCACTCAGCTTTCTTCACAGTCCAACTCTCACATCCATACATGACCACTGGAAAAACCATAGCCTTGACCAGACAGACCTTTGTTGGCAAAGTAATTCTCTGCTTTTTAATATGCTGTCTGGGTTGGTCATAACTTTCCTTCTAAGGAGTAAGCGTCTTTTAATTTCATGGCTGCAGTGATTTTCATCTGCAGTGATTTTGGAGCCCAAAAAAATAAAGTCTGACACTGTTTCCACTGTCTCCCCATCTNTCTCCTTGGGTTATTGGGGGAGAAAGGCAATGAACAAGTAAATAAATTGGTAGATAGCATAATGCCTGGTGTTAATTTGTGTATGAAGAGAGATAATTAGGATAAGGTGATAGAATAATGAAGAATTTCATTTCACAAACAAGGTCTGGAACATCCTCAGGAAAGATATGATGTATCAGCTGAGTAAGGCAGCAATCCATGTGGATGTCTGAGAAAAAGATATCAAGCAAACAGAATGGGGTGTGGACAGCCTAGAGGTGGGGGTATGCTTGGCCTGCTTTAAGAAGTGGCAAGAAGGCTAGTGAGCCAAAATGAGCTAGGAGTGGCTGCGTGCAGCCAGTGGACAGTAAATGCTTAACTGAATTAATTTTAATATTCTTCCTCTACATTCAGTCAGTCATCTTACTATCAATATATTTTTGACATCTGCCATTTTCAAGACAGTGTGTACTATGCTGTATTGTGGGAATGGGGGAACAGGACCAAGACACAGTTCATTTCTCTGAAGGAGATCACACTGTAATGGGAGAGACAGATGGTTTCCCATGCTAAAGTAACAAAGATAGATGCAGATGTGTTGCTTATGACAATTATTGTATTATTTTAAATGAATAAAGGGTTCACAACGCCTTATGTATGGACATGGAAATGAATCAATCATTACTAGAAGAAAAATAAATTAGAGAAACACATATGTATATATTATATGTATATATTTATGTGTATATTTAGGAGCTTCCCAGGTGTCTCAGTGGTAAAGAACCTGCCTGCCAATGCAGGAGATGCAAGAGACGCAGGTTCGATCCCTGGGTCAGGAAGATCCCCTAGAGAAGGAAATGGCAACCCACTCTAGTATTCTTGCTCGGGAAACCTCATGGACAGAGGAGTCTGGTGGGCTACAGTCAATTGGGGTTGAAAAACTGTTGGACATGACTTAGCAACTAAACAGCAAAAATGTGCAATATGCATATCATGCATTTATATGGTGTGTGTGTGTGTGTATATATATATATATGTGTGTGTGTGTGTGATCCAGTTTTTAAAATGTGAATATACCTATGCATGTGGATATGATAGTAATAAAGATATATAAATATAGATTTAAATGTATTTGTATAAGAATAGAAATAACCTAGAGAAAAAAACACTAGTCTTTTAAGAGTAGTTGCCTGTAAAGTGAAATTAGAGAGAAGGAGGGAAGAGTTTTTTTACTTATTCCTTTAATATGTTTAGAGGCTAAGAATTTATACCTTCTTTTACATTTTTCTGAATTTTTCAAATACTTACCAAAAGCCTAGTTTTTAAAAGATAAGAACTAAGAAATAACATATAAAAACCCAGTATGTATATATATATTTGTGATAATAGAAGTACCACAGGAATAAAAATAAGATTTACATATATATAATTGGTAGAGTTTGGGGAATTTTTCCCATTTTGATTGAATATAAATATTTTTATTCCATTTATAACAAATTTTTTCTGAATAAATATTGTATTTTCTACACTTTTGGAAAGTGTACACCTTGTTTTTATTTTACTGCTGGCTACTTTTAAGTTTTAACATATCTACTTATAACTTATCTAACATTAACAGAATAATGTTGTATGAATGTTATAATTTTCATAAACTGAATATTATATAAAATAAAGGGAGTAGATTGAATTTTTTAAAATAGTTATGTAAATTAAAGTATTAGCAACTTTTGTCAAATATACTGTCATTTCCTTTCCATTATATAGAAAAATCAAAGGAAGAACAAAGACAAACAGATAAAACTGCTCAATGAAATCTTACATGGAATTAAGGTAATAAAAAAAGGACATGAATTTAATTTATCTATTTAGAATATCACAATAAGTTAACCAATAAATGAACCTTTCACCATTCTCAATATCAAAATAATGAAATATGTATAATTTTGAGACAGCAATTTAGATTTCAGATATATAAAATTTCTTACGTTGAAATAGTATTTAAATAAAGCCAAATAAAATGTAAGGTTTTTTTTGTTCTCAACCAACAACTAAACACAAATATCTCAAAAGACACAAAATATTACTCATTTTAAGGACAGAAAATTTGGAATGAAGCAGGGAAGAGCGGCAGTAACGCTGTCATCAGTGTGAAGGTAGATGCGTGGGGAAAGTGATGAGAGGCCATTCAGTTTCTTTTATACAGAAGAGAAACCATCATACAAATACTATTCTATGAAAAAGAGTGAAAGTGTTCATCGCTCAATCATGTCCAACTCTTTGTGACCCCATGGACTAGAGCCCTCAAGGTGCCTCTGTCTGTGGAATTTTCCGGGCAAGAATACTGGAGTGGGTTACCATTCCCTTCACCAAGGGATCTTCCCGACCAAGGGATCGAACCCAGGTCTCCTGCATGCAGGCAGATTCTTTACTGTCTGAGCCATGTACCTGGCTATTCTATGAAAAGTATGCTACCGATTATTTGTTTCCTAGAAAAACTACCTCCACTCCACACCACTAACATTTTCTCTGTGATAAAATGAGTGAAGCCTTATAAATTTTGTATAGAGATATCCCTCAATTTTGGAGAAGGAAATGGCAGTCCATCCAGCATTCATGCCTGGGAAGTCCCATGGACAGAGGAGCCTGACCAGCCACAGTCCATGAGGCTGCAAGAGGAGGATGCAACTTATGCCAAAACCACCCCACCTTCCTCAATTTACAGTGGCTTTATATCCTGATGTACCCATCATAAGCTGAAAATATCATCGTCGAGAGTGCATTTACTACACCTCTCATACTTATTACCATAGTTTAACATACGCTTACATCACTTACATTAGACTACAGCTGGGCATAATCATCTGATACAGAGCCTATTTTATAATAAAAGTGAAAGTGAAGTTGCTCAGTCGTGTCCGACTCTTTGCGACCCCATGGATTATAGACTACCAGGCTCCTCTGTCCATGGGAATTTTCCAGGCAAGAATACTGGAGTGGGTTGTCATTTCCTTCTCCAAAGGATCTTCCCAACCCACTGGAGGTGCAGGGANTTCAGTTCAGTTCAATCATTCAGTCATGTCCGACGCTTTGTGACCCCACGGACTGCAGCGCGCCAGGCCTCCCTGTCCATCACCAGCACCAGGAGTTTACCCAAACTCATGTCCATTGCAATAGTCGGTGATGCCATCCAGCCATCCCTAACTCTGTCGTCCCCTTCTTCTCCGGCCCTCAATCTTTCCCAGCAACAGGGTCTTTTCAAATGAGTCAGCTCTTCGCATCAGGTGGCCAAAGTATTGGAGTTTCAGGTCCAGCATCAGTTCTTCCAATGAACACCCAGGACTAATCTCCTTTAGGAGGGACTGGTTGGATCTCCTTGCAGTCCAAGTCACTCTCAAGAGTCTTCTCCAACACCACAGTTCAAAAGCGTCAATTCTTCAGCACTCAGCTTTCTTTATACACAAATAAATTATTTATCCACAGAATAAACCCATTATATGTACATACTGATTCACCTTAGAATCAGTAAATGATATGCTGCATTGTGCTGTATAACATTTTTACAAAAATATAAATTACTGATGTGAAAGACATTGTTAGATTGAAGATACTTTGAAAGGAGACTGATAATCCATGAATAGCAATAAGTAACTGAAATTTAACTCAGATTATTCTATAAAGTCACACATCATCAAAGTATATGATCCAGATGCATCTTGCACCTCTTTGTGGGTTAACTGAGACACCCAGCATCATTAGAAAATAGTGATGTATGTTTATAAAAGTATTGACATTCATAAAATGAAATTTGTATTATCAGTAGAACTAAGACAATGTAGATGAAAGAAATTTTCTCAAGATCTAAGCAAAGTTCAAGATTTAAAATAGCAGTAAATAAACTATAATATTGGAAGAGATCCAAATGGAAATCAGTTAGGGTAGTTTAAAAGTGGGGGCAGTTTGCATCCTTGGTGTTTGAAAACAGGTGTCATAAAGCCTCTCTNTAAAAGTATTGACATTCATAAAATGAAATTTGTATTATCAGTAGAACTAAGACAATGTAGATGAAAGAAATTTTCTCAAGATCTAAGCAAAGTTCAAGATTTAAAATAGCAGTAAATAAACTATAATATTGGAAGAGATCCAAATGGAAATCAGTTAGGGTAGTTTAAAAGTGGGGGCAGTTTGCATCCTTGGTGTTTGAAAACAGGTGTCATAAAGCCTCTCTCTAATAATGACAGTAGCTTAGCATTTATTGAACATTTTCTGTATGTCACACACTGTACTTATCACTTTATATCTGTTTCCTCATATAATTCTTATAAACCTAAAGAAAAAAATTTCTCATCTTCATTTTACAAATAAGGAAAAAAGTATCTGAGCAGTTGAGGGTCATCTCTTAGTTCACAGAGCCGGTGAGAGATTATCTCTTAGTTCACAGAGCCGGTGAGAGATTATCTCTTAGTTCACAGAGCCGGTGAGAGATTATTAGGGATTTCCAGAGAAGCAGGGCTAACAGGATTCATAGACAAATAGATAGATGAATAGATAAATATTTATTTTAAGGAACTGGCTTATGAGTATAGGCAGTGGCTTGTCTGAAATCTGTTGAGCAGGCTGGAAATTTCTGCAGGACTTGATGCTATAGCCTTGAGTCTGGAGGCAAAACTCCTTCCATCTCAGAGAACCTTAGTTTTTTTCTCTTGAGGCCTTCAACTGATTAGATTGGGCTCACCCATCTAAGGGGCTTCCTAGGGGGCTCTCAGGGTAAAGAACTTGTCTGTCAATGCTGATGCAAGACATATAAGAGAAGCAGGTTTGATTCCTAGGTCAGGAAGATCCCCTGGAAAAGCAAATGGCAACCCACTGCAGTATTCTTGCCTGGAAAATCCCTTGGACAGAGGAGCCTGGCATGCTGCAGTCCATAGAGTCAGAGTTGGACACAACTGAAGCAACATAGCATGTTACCACCCATTAATGGAGGGCAATCTTCTTTATTTAAAGTTTAATGGTTTAAATGTTAATCAGATCTAAAAATTACCTTCACATTAATATCTACTGGTATTTGATAAAATAACTGGGCAACATAACCTAGCCAAATTTACACATAAAACCAACCATCACAAAAAAACTAAGATCATGGCATCCAATCCAATCAGTTTATGGTAAATAGATGGGAAAACAATGGAAACAGTGACAGATTTTATTTTCTTGGGCTCCAGAATCACTGTGGTCAGTGACTGCAGCCAGGAAATTAAAAGATGCTCCTTGGAAAGAAAACTATGATAAATCTAGACAGCATATTAAAAAGCAGAGACATCATTTAACTGGTAAAGGTCCATATAGTCAAAGGTGTGGGTTTTACAGTAGTCATGTACGGATGTGAGAGTTGGACCATAAAGAAGGCTGAGTACCGAAGAATTAATGCTTTTGAACTGTGGTGTTGGAGAAGAGTCTTGAGAGTTCTTTGGAAAGCAAAGAGATCAGACCAGTCAATCCTAAAGGAAATCAACCCTGACTATTCATTGGAAGGACTGATGCTGAAGCTGAAGCTCCAATACTTTGGCCACCTGATATGAAGAACTGAGTCATTTGAAAAGACCCTGATGCTGGGAAAGATTGAAGGCTGGAGGAGAAGGGGATGACACAGGATGAAATGGTTGGCTTGCTTCATCAAGTCAATGGATAAAAGTTTGAACCAACTCCAGGAGACAGTGAAGGACAATGAAGCCTGGTGTGCTACTGTCCATGGGGTCACAAAGAGCTGAACATCACTGAGTGAATGAACAACAAAAGAGACCTGGAATTTGAATGTAGGCCTGTCTCACTCTAAAAAGAATGTGGTAAGTCATTGCATGATTCTACTTCTCCATGTTTTCCATCTCAGAAAATAGTTTACAATCACAAAACACTTGTAACCTTTCAGAAAACGGCTTGACATCCCAAGACATAAGTTTTCAAGAAACTGGGAGGCCGGGGGAGAAGCTTAACTACTAAGAGATGTGAAAAGAATAGAATTGAGAGTTGGACCATGGAAAATTTGTCAGGATTTAGCTAGACAGAGGGCTTCCGTGGTGGCTCAGACATGTCCATAATGCATCCATGGAGCAAGAGTCAAACTCACCTGAGCGACTGTCACTTTCACTGTCAAGCTAGACAGAAACTGCTATGGAGCTCATGCCAGGAGCTGGGATGTTGTCCAAGTCTGGCTCAGGAATAAGCTAGTAGTGGGTAAGAGAGACATAAGAGTGGGGAAATGGTGATTTCCTCCTCCCACACACCCTAGAAAAACACCACAGGAAATACTTTGACTCAGTTGAAAACAGGAGTAATTTACTTCATGGGTCCTATTTTTACCTTCACAGTTATGAGTGTGTGTGTGTTATAGTGTGTGTATTTGCACGTGTGCATGTTTTTTATTCCTTCTATGATATTGATTGTCATCATCTGACTTCTTTACAGATTCTCAAACTTTATGCATGGGAACCCTCTTATAAAAAGAAGGTTATTGAAATTCGAGAACAGGAATTGGAAGTTCAAAAATCAGCTGGATATCTTGCTGTATTTTCCATGCTAACTTTAACTTGCATTCCATTCTTGGTGAGTGTGTATACTATTTTTTGTTTTGATTTTCAAATTTGATTTGCATGTTCACCTTTAAATTGCCTGGAATTAAGATTTCCAAAGTGAAGTCTTCTATATCTAAATTTAAATTTTCAACAAATGCAGTCATTAATCTGTAGAGATGAGAGATATGAAAGTTTTAAAGACGGGGAAAATTTTCTGGTGCATTTTCATTGGTCTGTATTTTTTATATTTAATAAGATTTTACATCTTTGTAAATTTTTCATAGATTGAACATATGCTATCCTCAATCTTAAAAAATATGACCTATATTTCAGAGTCCCATTTCAGCTCTATTATTTTTCATGATTAATCCCTTTTAAGCAAGACTGAAAGGCACTCTACATAGAGTTGGAAAGGGACTTTACATTTATTGAGCGTTTCTACTGTGTATCAGACAAGTTATATGCATCTTATTTCATTCTTACGATAATAAGGTATTTTCTCATTTCACAAGAGGAAATGGAAATAGTTTGGAAATATCCTTAAAGTTATAGAACTACTATTTGTAGGTGAATTGATATGAATTGAAGTATCTTTCTGTCACTTCATGCAACTATTGGGAATCTCATGCTATTTAAAGAGTATAAATTGCCTTGAGATATTGAAGCAGTAGATGAAAGCCAAAGGATAAGAAAACTATAACTGAAGGATCAATTTTAACCACTCTCAGTAGTGATGGGGTCAGGAAACATTCTATGTCTCCCCTGTTGTTAATTTAAAATATTATTGTTTATTTAAACAAACATGTAGATATTATGAAAGTAAAAGCAATATTTACATTTGGAATAGTTTACATTTTGGAATAGCCAGGAAGCATTTGCTTAAGACAGTCTTATGTACATGATAAATAGTCAATACAGTCTCATGCATAAATGAACTTTTCTGCCTTTTCTAAATGAAACTTATGCAAGTAAATATAAATCCTACTGGTCATGATTTATTTATACATTTTTCAGTTAATATAAAGACATAGAGAAAGTAAAATTTCTGCATATGAGACAATAGGTATGCACGCATCACTGGAAAAAATTTACATAAAACTCCATTTTAAAGGAAAAAATGAACTGTTGTATGTTTTAAATGGGGATAATTACTCTAGTGAAAATGTGCCATGTCAAAGAAGGGAGCTGGACCACATGTTCATAGGATGTCATTATTTAAGATACCCAATTGTATGATCTGTACGAAACATTTATTTCATATTCTTCAGCAATGGTACTAAATAGTACCAAATTTTGGTAAACAACAACAACAAAGATTATTGAAGATTTCTTTCCTAATTTTGAGTCTGTAATTAAAAATTGCACAATTGAAGAAAATTACATGTATATTTTTAAGGTGTCTCTAGCAACATTTGGTGTCTATTTCTTACTGGATGAAGAAAACATTTTAACAGCCACTAAAGTGTTCACATCTATGTCTTTGTTTAATATCTTGAGGCTTCCTCTGTTTGATTTACCGATGGTGATCTCAGCTGTGGTCCAGGTACATCCAAATTATCTTTAAATTGAGAATCATTCCTCTACTGAAATCTTTAGTTTTGCATATTTCATTTCTTAATCTTTTTTTAAATTTTGCTTTTTGTAGTTGTTTTATGATGCTTTAAAAATTTCCCTAAATTAATGAGCAATAGAGAAATTATAGGATGAAAAGAATCATGTCTTCTTCGTCTGTACTTTTTGTCTATAAAAATGACTTTTAAGCATTTCAACATGTGACATTGTTTTCTTTGCTAAGTGTTAGTTCTCTCGTTTAGCTTTTGAAAATTTGGTGTTTGGGTGGAGAGGGAGGTGGGAGGGGGGACCGGGATGGGGAATACATGTAAATCCATGGCTAATTCATTTCAATGTATGACAAAAACCACTGCAAAAAAAATAAAATAAAATAAAATAAAATTTGGTGTTTGACACTATGCCATCAAAGGGTTTATTTTCTGTTTTCAATTGAAAAATTTTAAGTAAGTGATTTGCACAGTACTAGGTCTGAATTTTCCCAGGGTTCAGCAAAACTTCATCTGTGCTGAAAGAATAAACTAGGGAGAAAGGTGCGCTGATAATATCAGTCTACCAACCAACCTTGTATGAGGTATCTGGTTTATCTCCAATCACTGAAGCCTCTTTAGATGCTATGATGATAGAAGGTAGCTAAAACCATAGGGAATCCAAAGAACTGAGTTCTTTGATCCCTTTACCCCTAGATTTTCTCAATTAAATTTTTTCAATATCAGGTTTAGGTATTCACCCATCAAAACTTTTTCAAGTCTGGGTTCATAAACAAAGTGAATTTTTGCTTACTGGAACTAGCTCTTTGATCTAAGAACTTTTCCTTTTAATTTATATAAATTGAGATCTATAAATTATATCTGAATGAAGAGTAACATAATTCTATAGTAAATAGTACGTAAGCTATTTTTGTTCCATAATACTGTTTTTATATTCTTTTACTAATAATCGCCAGCAGAGGGCGTAGAAGTACTATCTTTTAACATGTTTCGCAGCACACTTCTCTTAAAAAAAATATTAGAATAAAGGTTCTGTTTTGCTTTTGAAATTATGTTCTAGCTAAAGGTCTGGTATCCCAGAGTATTTTCCAGCTCCTAGTCACTACTGTCACTAAACAAATAAGGAGAACAACTGTGCAAATAAAAGAGAAAAAGAACCAACCTTGCATACTGATAGGACACACTTGGTAAACAAAATAGCAGCTTTTAATTACATCTTATCCATTAGCAGTTGACATATCCTAACATAAAGTGAATAAAAATGTACTAGAGGTTTCATGCAAGTCAGTGTCAGGGGAAAAATGACTCTATTTATCCTGTCTGTAGCAAAACATTTATAGCTATTCTATTAAATAAATGTTACCATTGCCAAAACTATTACTTTGTTTATGCTCACAAGCAGAATTCATTCAACCAGACTGAAGTTGCTCTTAAAAACTAATTATTCTATGATCATTAATTAATCAGTTATCGTGTTTTTGCTCGAATGTTAGGGAGAATTTTTGGTTTCTAACTTCTCATGTTTTCCTGCATATATATATTTGTTTTGATTTTTGATTCTTGAAACTTCTTTTTCTTTATCGATGGACTTATTTATAAACATTAAAACAATGCAAATCATGCTTGCTGAATATTTATATCACTATCACCAGTTTACATCAAAAACTTTTAAATGCTTTTAGTTTAACTTCTTCTTGAAACCCAAAAATTCCATTTACGTTTATTTTGATAGACAAGAATATCACTGCTTCATTTGGAAGACTTTCTCAACACTGAGGAACTTCTTCCACATAGTATTGAAGCAAATTACATAGGAGGTTAGCAGTTCTTTTTTGTGTTTAATATTTATTTGACTTCTGGGCTGAAGACAATTGATTCTAAGATATATTTTTGTATTTATTTTTCTTCCTAGATCATGCCATTGGTTTTACAAATGCTTCCTTTTCCTGGGATAAAACAGGGGTTCCAGTATTAAAAGAGTAAGTCATGATTTGGGGAAAATTAAAAACAAAACAAAAAAATTAGCATAGATTCTATCATGCTTCATGTGTTTATTTTTTAGAGTTTTTAAGCAGAAGATGAATCTATTGGAATTTGTAAGATTTTTTAAAAACCTCTCACTGCATCTTTCATTTTTATGATTGCTTTACAATCTTTTTTACCCCCTGTTCATTTCCTCTCTTTACTTTTCTGCATTTACTGCTTGCATTTTGAAAGGTTGGGTGTTTGTAGAATAATGTAGGACAATGTGAATAGCAGCAATTTCAAGGATGATGCCCTGTATACAGTGACTTGTGATACAGTGACTTTTCTGGGAATATACATTAAAAACAGTTATAACAGAACTTCCTATATCATCTCTTTCTTTATTTGTTGTGCAGCTTGAACATAAAGATTCCAGAAGGAGCTTTAGTGGCTGTTGTAGGGCAAGTCGGGTCTGGAAAATCATCTGTGCTTTCTGCAATTCTGGGGGAAATGGAGAAACTAAAAGGAGTAGTCCAAAGAAAGGTAACGTCAACAATGCATTCTTTGCACATCTCCTGGTGTAATGGACTACAGCCAGCACATCATTAGTGTCAATAAGAATTTATCAAGTTGAATTGAAGAACGAAGTATTTAATGAGCATTTCTAGTTTGTAACAAACATTTAAATTTCCACAGAAATTGATTAGCTATGGATGGATTAGTCAGAGCATTCTGTCCTCCATATACTTCAGCAAATCATTTAGGAATGCTTATGGTAATTGTTTGATGATATTAACTAAATTGCAACCAATTATGGAGAAACAAATGTGGTTTATAATATAATTTGATTAGGTTTCTAATTATCATTCATTGCAATGTTTCCTAAGTAATTACGGCCATTCCATTTCTAAGAAATGGTGTAGCTGCTCACAGGAAGGATCTCTGACCTAGGAAAAGCTCAGGAAAATAATAATTATTAATAACTTACATTTAAATTTCAGCATTTGGACTCTGGAGAGGTCTACTTCCAGCCATTTGTTCTATTCTTAAAGGTCAATAGGAATAAGAATTCAACAAGTTCTTCATCAGCTATTTCTTTTTTGAAGTAGTAGGCTATCCAGTGAATTTTTCCTTAGACCTAACTACCTAAGAAGGTAAAATATTACCTAATCACTCCTTCTCACTTGTGACAAGATGGAGAGGGTCTTTGGATATGAAACCAGTGTCTTCACTGCTTTTCTTTTCTTTAGGAAAAATCAACTCCAGATCCTTTTATTTTTGTTCATGATATATCATTCCTTGTGTCTATATTTATTCTCCTCTGGAGAAGGAAATGGCAGCCCCCTCCAGTACTCTTGCCTTGAAAATCCCATGGACAGAGGAGCCTGGTGGGCTACAGCCCCATGGGGTTACAAAGAGTCAGACACGATTGAGCAACTAAGCATGTCTTTATATCTTTCCTGATTCTAGGTCTTTAGTGATTAATTGGTAAAGAATGCACTTGCAATGTGGGAGACCTGGGTTCAATCCCTGAGTTGGGAAGATCCCCTGGAGAAGGGAATGGCAACCTACTCCAGTATTCTGGCCTGGAGAATTCCATGGGCTGTATAGTCCATGGGGTCGTAAAGAGTCAGACACAACTGAGTGACTTTCAAGTTCAATTTCATGTCTTTATATCTTTCCTGATTCCAGGTCTTTAGTGATTAATTTTGTATTTATTTATATTTCTCATTATTACTGTTTCTTAGTTTGGAATCAAACATAATTTCAATTTTTCTAATAAGATTACACTTAATAAATACCACTACTTTTAACTTTAAATATACTATCTTTTCTCCTTATGTTCTCTTTAATGATTACAATCAGCCATTTGTCTGTTGATCAAGATGACTATAAATTTTCCTAGGCCAGTAAGTATCCTTTAAAAATATAATACTTGTCATACTGGGATATATGATTTTATTGACATGTTGATTTTATTTTCATTCAGTTTCTTCAGTTTTCACAAAGTGACTATTGAGCATACACTATGTGCCTGGCACAGTACCAAGGAAATAAACATGAATAGGATATGCTACTTTTCTTAAAGAGTTCACAGTCAAGTGAGGGAGATACTGAGGTCAATTACAACAAATATTTAGGTTTTCGAAATGAAACAGTATAAAGAGCAACAAATTCTGCTTTGAAGAGTTAAAAAAATAATCAAAGTAGGTAGCCTTTTATTTAATCTTGAAAAATGATTAGGAGTTGATCAAGATAAATTGATCAATAAGTTGATCAATTTTAAGTTTCACCCAATACATAAATGATAATAATAAACTTAAATTTTAAGGAGCAGATTGAATAAGATAATGTGCAAAGACCTAAACTAGTTCTTGGCACAGAGTCAGCTGGCTCCCTAAGAATTTTTGTGGTTATTGTTATCTTCATTATGATTATTGAGGGGCTCGTGGTAAGACTTCAAGATTATTTCTGATACTTTTGGGGATTCATAGTTAGGAAAGTGTTCATGGTGATAATAGAAACCATAACATTGCTATTACTAATCATAAAGCAGAGAGGACACATTTTGTTTATATTAAGCTAGGGATAGACAGTATTATCTGTCGGTATAACTGGCCACTTTGTTCTTTAGGAAGCTTATTGGTCTGGATCAGTGGCAAGATTTTAATTATTTCACATTCTGAATTATTTCACATTCCGTACTCTCAATTATTTCCATACTCTCAGTTATTTCCTAAAACATGTCTAAGCCTAAATTTGTAAGTATTACCCTGATTATCTCTAATTTAATAGTAATGGGCTTCCCTGGTGGCTCTGATGGTAAAAAAGTCTGCCAGCAATGTGGGAGACCCAGGTTCAATCCGTGGGTTGGGAAGATCTCCTGGAGAAGGGAAAGGCAACCCACTCCAGAATTCTTCCCTGGAGAATTTCAAGGGCAGAGGAGCCTGGAGGGTTACAGTCCACTCATGGGGTCACAAAAAGACAGACACCACTGAGTGACTGATGCTTTCACTTTCAATCATAATAATGGCATGGCCAACCTAACATTTAGTATTTATAAGGTGCTTTTGTTTACATCTTTCTGTTTCTCAAGGTTTCACATTCTCAACTGTTTGATGCATATCATTACAGTGTTCAAATTCTAAGATCCCCTATTCTCAGTATCAAAGGTTTTTATCAGACATCATTCATGCAGCACATTCAATATTCAGTGTTCTTTGGTGGAACATCAGAGATTTAGAGTCCATTTTTGAATTAACCAAACTGCTATTGGAATTTTATTATTAAGAATGAAATGAAACAAATACACATTTTCATTTGTATGTGAGATGTAAGAGATAATTACAATGATAATACAAGGAAAGTTTTACATCTCTGTGAAAATTTATCAGCTCTTTTTTAACTCCTGTTACACCAATACATCAAGTCCATATTTCTCAATGTAGTATTTAGTTCCTATTTTATATTATATACCATATTCCCTTGTTCTGCATCTTCTTTCCTATGTTCTTTACCCTCTGTTCTCCTTATCTTGCCTGATGTATATCAAGTATTCAGAATCTCCATCACCTGAGGACTGATTTATTATGCTATCCTAATCAAAGGTTATTCACTAAGCAAGGTAGTTCAAGAGCAATTACTTTTGTGCTCAAGATCAAGTCAGATCGAATTATATTGTTTTGGCTCAAAATCCATTCTGTGTCTTACTTGCTCAACAAAGAAGAATTAAAAGTTAATCTTTGATCTTCAAAACAGTTGGTAGAAATCAAAAGACTGGTAGTTACATACAGATCTATGTCAGAAAGTACTTTAAATGTGCAGTATTGTTAGAGTGAGCTATAATCAGAACACTCAAGTCGGTGTTTGGATAGAATCCATGGGGTAGATTCAAAGGTGAGTCTCTAGTTCAAATACGGGGAGTCCTTTAGAAGACAAAGGTTAGTTAAAAGAATATTTCATGCATCAGAGTCACATTCAGGAATAAGGTCAAGACATCAGATTATCAAAAATTGAATTTAAGAGCAGTGAGTGCCTGGAAGACACAGGAATATGGTGTCCAGAGCCCCCTTCTAGGGGGCTTGCCACCAGCTTTGGGAGTACATCAGACACATTAGCACCTTCATGATGGCCTGCTGGGTTCCAACCTTAAAGGCCAGGCCAGTTCAGCCTAACAACAGAATCCCTCTACTGAGTGATAACACTTCCACGGCTCTCTGGAAGACTGACCAAATCTTTCTTGGCTCTGGGTCACCATGTGACTTACCCCTCTATCCCTTCCTGCTTCTCCATTTCCTTTCCATAAGAATTCCACAGGAACTCATCCCTCCAAAACAACTTGCACCCCAACTTCAGTGTTATGGGCCGAATTGTCTTCTCCCCATATTCATATGTCAAGGTTCTAACCCCCAATACCTGAGAATATGACTGTATTTGGAGATAGGGCCTTCCCGGGGGCCACAAGTTAAAATAAGGTTAATAGGGTGGGCCCTTTGGCTGATATCTTAGGAGAAGAAATTAAGACACATACTCAAAGGGAAGGCCATGTGAAGACTGGGGAGAAGACAGCCATCTTCAAGCTAAGGAGATCGGTCTGAGGAGAAACCAGCCATGCTGTCCTGTTCATCATGCCGGTTGTCTTGCTGTTCACGCTTTGCACGGTGTTCGCTGAACCCAGGGTAGACCAGGTGCAAGCTAAGAGGCTGGAAGAAGACGCGAAGAGCGGCAGGAACTGCAGACACGTTTATTCTCTCCTGGCTGGCACAGCAGCCTTAGCAGTAGGCATTACGCTATTTTCTCTCCTCTCATGGCTGACCCAACAGAGACAGCCGTGACGCACAGTAACGCCGCCATTTTCTAAGTGGAGCTCACACTGGTCCCAGCTTGTGACCAATCAAGTACTTCCTGATGAGCATGTGCAGTGCTATAAATGATCTCAGCTGTTACATAGTCATTGTTTATAAAATGTGGGGTGAGAGAGTCTGAACACTCCATCTCGGCTAGTTTACTCTCTCCTCACGTGTGCCAACGCCTTGATCTCAGAATTATGAGGGGAAAAAAATTCTATTGTTTAAGCCTCTGAGGTCATGGTACCTTGTGAGGGTAGGAGGAGCTGACTAGTAAACTCAGTGTCTGCCAGAAATCTCACCAGGGACCTTTGATAGAAAGGAAATAGGTTGCCTTTTCTTTCTCCAGGGGATCTTCCCGACCCAGGGATCAAACCCGGGTCTCCTGCATCATAGGCAGATGCATTTACTGTCTGAGCCACAAGGGAAGTGTTGTTAGAAGCTAGTTGAAAGTAAATAAAAAGCAGAGTAATTCATTTGAAGGAGCCTCTAATAAACATATATAAGGTTAAAATAGGATATAAGATTAAAATATATATGGAATATATTTACATTTAAGAAATAATCTATTTTTTTTTAAAATTCAATTTAAAGGAAGCAAAACCATGGACAAATATGTTCCCTTTATCTGGCACATGCAAGTTCTCCTTTTCCCCGGTTAAGAGTATTTCTTTTATTTATTTCTTTTTTAGGGCTCCGTGGCTTATGTTTCCCAGCAGGCCTGGATTCAGAATTGCATTTTGCAAGAAAACATTCTCTTTGGCTCTGTCATGCAGAAGCAGCTTTATGAGAGAGTTTTGGAAGCCTGTGCCCTCCTTCCTGATTTGGAGCAGTTACCCAACGGAGATCAAACTGAGATTGGAGAAAAAGTAAGGAAAATATATTTTATCTTATGCGGGAATAACATTCCAGTCAGCTGCACTAATAAAACATCTATGGCCCTTTTACTGAGGTCTTGAAGAGCTACACAACTGTAATTTTTTAAAGTTAGTGTAGAAGTCCTATGAAAGAAATGGCAGTATTAAGGATGAATAATTATTTTTTATTGACTACTTGGAAAGCAGATTAAAAATCAGCAGGAAATTCTGTTGTTAGTGCCTATACAGGGGAATGAAAACCCATCACGTGGATCACGAACACTTTGCCTTAGTTTCTGGCATAATGCTGTTCACTGTCGCAGTTTTGTTCCTTCGTGGATCTCTTGTGCACGAAGCCAAGCCTAGGGGAGTAGCAGAAGAGCCCCAGTCTCCGATGGTGGCACCGAGAGATTCCAACAAAGCTCTGTTCCAGGTTCACACATTCTTCCTTAGGAGGAGCTTGTTTCCCAGACACCATATTCTTTGTTCCATTTATTTTCATCCAGTTAATGAATAGTTATCATGCTGCCCAGTGTTTTGTGGTTAAAAACAAAACAAAATAAGATATCACAAGTCAAATAATGAACCCCAAGAGATTATCCCCAACCCTTGACTAAAATCTCCATTAATTAAACATGAATGCAAAAGCAGCCTCTGCCTGCGATTCAGATGTACTATGAAGATAAGTAAATAATCCTTAGTGTTTTGAATTTCTGAGAAGAGTTAGCATAACATTGTTAAGTGTTTTTACCTTGGCCTCCTATTATTTAATTGTCTTGTTATATAAATTGAAAGCTATAAATGAAATTGTAGAAAGTGCCAGGATTTAAAATCTAGGGTGTACACTTTGCTGTACATCTGAAACTAACACAACATTGTAAATCTTCTATATTTCAATAAAATATAAAATCTGGGACAAGGTAGATCTTACCTTTTAACTAGACTTACATTGTTTTTATTCATAACCTGTTACTTTGCAGATGTATGTTTTCGAAGTGTTAAGTAGATTTAATTTTTTGCAACCTCTGTGTTTTTTCTGGCATCTTCATTATCCCTCTAGGCAATAGCAGTGTAGCTAAAATGATAAAGAAATGCAACTTCTTCAAACTTGTTAATACATGTTGAACCTTTTGCTGATAAAGCCAACCTCTAATAATATGAAATAGCTAACGCATGCATGCATGTTCAGTCGCTTCAGCCGTGTCCGACTCTTTGCAACCCTGTTGTAGCCCACCAGGCTCCTCTGTCCATGGGATTCTCCAGGCAACAGTACTAGAGTATGTTGCCATGCCCTTCTCCAGGGGATCTTCCCAATCCAGGGATGTAACCAGCGTCACTTATGTCTCCTACATTGGCAGGCAGGTTCTTTACCACTAGTGCCACCCGGGAAGACCAAAATAGCTAATCGTATGTAACTAAAAAATTAAAGTGGAAAATTCAAAATGTGAAGTATAGATTTAATATAGTCCTTAAGTGTTATTACCACTTATAAATTCTGCTTTTTATATTTTATAATTAAATTTCTCCCAATCTGATGATGTACCTTAAAAATGTAATTGAATATTTAAGAAGAAAATCTGTTTCCAGCTGTTTATGGTCCATGGGGTCGCAAAGAGTCAGACACAACTTAGCAACTAAAACAACGAGATGAAGAAGATAATGAATGTAGGATTTTCTTCACTTTTATTATCTTTTTCTTTGACATAATTCAGTTGAACACAAATATTTATTAATCTGTTATTTGCCCTTTTTCTACAATGGAGTATATAAGTGTGAGCAAGAGAGCTATCACTTTGTCTTCAAAGGATTGGAATCAACTGGATCTCTGCCAATGATGTTATCAATTGTCTTTACCAGTATTTATTTGGACACTATGTGCTGGGAGTGCAAGGATAAACTAGGTAGGAGTGGATAGGAGAATGAGATGCTGACATGAGTATTGCTATTTCTAGCAATGGATGAGTAAATAGAAAACTATAAGACAAGAAGGGAGGGAAGGAATCGCTTTACCTGAAACTCTGGGTAGAAGATTGACTTCCAAGAATACTTGCAATGTGTAGCTTTTCAGTTACAAAGTGGGGGGTGTGGGTGCCCAAGCGGAGTAAACACTCTGTGCAGGCAGGAAAAGGCAGGCTAGTCTGATTGTAGGTCAGTCAGTTGAGAGCAGCATTGGGTGAGTGTTTGAAAGATGAGTTAATGTCAAAATCTTAAGTGTCTTGGATTTCTACTAAGGAATTTGCTGTTGCTCATGAATGATGAGAAGAGAAAGATGTGGCTATCCAAGATTTTAAGCAAAATGACATAATTGCAGGATACATGATGACAAGTCAGAGGACGGATTAGCGAGAGAAGTGATTGAGTGACAATAGCTAATGTGTATTGCATCTCTACTCAGTATAGGATTCATCCTAGATATTTTAAGCTCAGTAAATGCTCATGACAAACCCATGAGTTGGAGACTTTTACAGTCACACATACTGACAGATATATGTATCGTATCACTTTGTTGTATTTATGTATCATATTACTTTGTAGGTATTTTTTTGCTCTTGGCTCCTTTGCTAGAATATGACCTCCCCATGACAGAGTCTCTGTTTCATTTATCATTAAATCCCAAGTGCTAGCATAGTTCTCCACCTGGAGAGGGAATAGCAACCTACTTCAGTATTCATGCTGGGGAATTCCATGGAGGGAAGCAGGCTACAGTCCGTGGGGTCGCAAAGAGTCAGACATGACTGAGAGACTAACACTTTCTTATTCTTTAACAGCTCTCAGAACATAGGAGATATTTGTTGATTAGAGGGAAGATGAGAAAGGCAAAGAAGCAATGGCATTTTACAATTATAGGGCACTGGCTCGGTTCTGTGCTGCATGGAGAGCTTTTAAACCAGATCTGTAAACACTAAATATAAAATAGATCAAGTAAATTGGGCCTGGCCACATAATTCTCCATACATGGCTGTGCATGTCGATTCTAATTCTCACATCAAGTGATGTATATTCCTTATTCTTGCTTCTTAGAGTTGTACTTTTGCCAACAAGACTTGTACTAATCTTTCTACAGAAGAAAATAGGACATGTTGATTACTGCTTTGGTAATTTAGCTATTATTCTCCATTTCCTATATGTCAATTTAAAAATGATCACCAGTGTCAGTATATGAATGACAGCCAAAAGTCTCCTTTAATATTCCACAGGCACGACCTTTCAGAGGTAAGGGATTGGACATTCTTTTCTCCATAACTGTTAGTATCTACTTTTTAAAAGCAAGTAGTGAAGAGAAAGCAGATATATCTGTTAATTTGCACAAATTAATGGCACTAGGAAATAGAGGGTTTTGGAATTTCAGGATAAAGAAAGGTTGAAATGTTCATCCTGAGCTATTACCTATCCCTGCTACAGAGGAGAATTTGGACATAACTATGTGCTCTTTGGGGGCTTCTCAGGTGTCTCCATGGTAAAGAACCTATTTGCCAATGGAGGAGACCTGGGTGAGATCCCTGGGTCAGAAAGATCCCTTGTAGAAGGGCGTGGCTACCCACTCCAGTATTCTTGCCTGGAGAATCCCATGGACAGAGGAGCCTGGCGGGCCACAGTCCTTAGTGTCGCAGAGTCAGACATGCCTGGAGCGACTGAGCACACACTCATGCATGCATGTGTTCTTTGAGATTCACACATTTTTCCCTATTTTTTTTTTCCTGCTTCATTTTCAGGGTGTGAATATAAGTGGCGGACAGAAGCATCGAGTGTGTCTGGCCAGAGCTGTCTACAGTGGGGCTGACATCTACCTTCTAGATGATCCCTTGTCTGCAGTTGATGTTCATGTTGCAAAGCAACTTTTTGAAAAAGTGATTGGGTCCTCTGGCATGTTAAGGAACAAGGTAGCCATAGCATCACATATGCTTTTGTGAGGGAAGGGGAGAATAATCTATATAGCACTGGGCCCCGAATTCTAATACTTTATTTGTTGATGCAGAGTAGTCAAATTTCACATAAAGAATGGGATGGTATGTTGCTCTTTCACAGACTTTAATGAATATTTTAAAATTTTTGCAAGTTTACTCAACTTATGTGATTATTACATAAGACCACAACTTATGTGATTATTACCTCACTGACTCCTACTGTATTCAAAGGTGATTTACACCTCAAAATGAGTGTTTTAAGTTTAGCTGACCATTTTTTGGAAGAATGGAATTTGGTTGTATAGCACTTTTCTGGAAAATAGTGTTTATTATTTTTTACTTAAAACTAGGTATTTTAAACATAACCTTAATAATAATCCAATTGTTTTGTGAAGGAACAAAGAAAAAAAGAATTAATATTTACCAAGTGCATATCATATTTGACACTAGTGAAACATGACTAATTTGACACTAAACTAGTTCATTTAGTTCTTATAGCAAGTCTCTGAGATAAGCATCATCAATACTCCTGTTTTATATACGATGAAACATGGAGCTCATCATGACTTGATATAGCTTGCTCAATTTAAGAACCACAGAAATGCTTTCTCTTTTTTGGCTGTGCTGGGTCTTCATAGTTGTGCAGGCTTTCTCTAGTTGTGGAGAGCAGGGTCCACTCTCTAACTGCGGTGGACGGGCCTCTCATTACGGTGGTTTCTCTTATTGCAGAGCACAGGCTCTGTGGGCAGAGGTTTCAGTAATTGCAGCTCGTGAGCTAATACTTACGATTCTCAACTCGAGAGCACAGGCTCAATAGCTGTGGTACCCACAGGCTTAGTTGCTCCACAGCATGTGGGGTCTTCCCACATCAGGGATGAAACCCATGTCTCCTGCGTTGGCTGGTGGATTCTTTACCACTGAGCCACCAGGGAAACCCCAAGAACCACAGAAATTTTTAAAAGCCTCTCTGACTTCAGAGCCATATATATGTATTCACAGTGTGTGCTTATAGATTTATTTATACAGAGAATTCTGGAAAAAGTAAACAAATGTATAAGATGGCAAAATAAATATTTAATTAAATCACAGCATTGGCTGGTGGATTCTTTACCACTGAGCCACCAGAGAAACCCCAAGAACCACAGAAATTTTTAAAAGCCTCTCTGACTTCAGAGCCATATATTGAATTCTGGAAAAAGTAAACAAATGTATAAGATGGCAAAATAAATATTTAATTAAATCACAGAAATGTCTTTACTTATTGAAATGAACCCAAGATAAATCTTGTCATTCAATTTAGTGTACATTATACAATAATATCAAAAGATTTAAAAATAAAGACTATGTGTTATAACTTAAACCTGTTTTTGTAACACTGCATGCATGCTAAGTTGCTTCAGTTGTGTCCAACTCTTTGCCACACCTTGGACTGTAGCCTGCCAGGCTCCTCTGTCCATGGGATTCTCCAGGCAAGAAAACTAGAGTGGGTTGCCATGCCCTTCTCCAAGGGATCTTCCCAGGGCTAGAACCCAGGTCTCTTGCATCTCCTGCCTTGGTAGGCCAGTTCTTTACCAGTAGCGCCACCTGGGAAGCCCCTGGTAACCGTATAGCACCTTCAAAAAAGGAAGCAAGAATGACAGTTATAAGATTGTTTTTAATTTGTTGTAAATCTGATTCATTCTTAATGAATGAAGAATACCTGAACTAATGGGGTAAAGCATTTGCTGACTTTTTTTATTTTTGTCAAGTAATGTATCATCATTCATTGTGAAATATTTATGTGCTATCTTAAACTGGTGCCTCCCAAGAATTGTACTCTAAAATAGTAAAGACAAAAAATAATGATTGCAGCTCTCTTTTTTTTTTTTATTTTATTTATTTATTTTTGGTTGTGCTAGGTCTTCATTGCTGCACAGTCTTTTCTCTAGTGGCAGGGCATGGGAGCTTCTTATTGTGGTGGCTTCTCTTGTGGAGCACAGACCCTAGGGTGATCGGGCTTCAGTAGTTGCAGCATACGAGTGCAATAGTTGTGGTCCCAGCTCTAGGTCACAGGCTCATGGACTTAGTTGCTCTTCCCCGACCAGGGATCGAACCCGTGTCCTGCATTGTCAGGTGGATTCTTTACCACTGAGCCACCAGAGATGCCCTGAAGCTCTCTTTAAAATAGTTATTTTGACCATCTGTTTTTGTAACCCAAAGAATAAAATACTCTTTTTCAGACTCGAATTTTAGTGACACACAACCTCACACTTCTGCCACAGATGGATCTCATTGTTGTAATGGAAAGTGGCAGAGTAGCACAAATGGGAACTTACCAGGAACTTCTGTCTGAAACCAAAAATCTCACGAATTTGCTTCAGGCCTTCAGTGAACAAGAAAAAGGTGAGGACCCAATTAAAAATACGCCTAAGATACAGTGTGCTAACCCATTCTGAAAGCCCATTAATTGTCTGATTTCTTACTGTGCATTTTTTTTCATTCATGATTGCTAAGTCAGGAGCTGAACATCTTCCTTTCTCTCGAAAAGAAACAAATACTTTGGGATACATCAGCTAAAAATCAACCTCACATATGAGTTTTAAGCAAAATGTTATGCTCCAGGATCAGTTTGTTCATCTATGAAATGAGAGGTTAAATAATTTATAACCCCCTACTGCAAGTTTAGAATATAATGAATCTAAACATTCTACTTTCTTTTAAATTAAATTCATATCAAATTAACAATAAATCTTTAAAATGTATTATTGCATGTTGTGGGAGAGAGACAAATGAAAAGAAAATCTGAAGAATGACAAAGAGGAATAATTGTTGTCTAGCTTTTACAAAACAACAACTGAGTTTATTTACTACTAATTTTTATTTCTATAGTCCTAGTATTTTAAATTAAGACCCAAAGATGTTTGTATAAATGAAGCTGTTTGATCTTTATGTAATTAGGACACAAGGGTATTTGAAATCTAGCATTAGTTTAATGTTCTAGAGATCGATCATTTTCTCACTCAGAAAACTGAATGTACCATCATCTCTTTTCCCAGCTATAGATAGTTTCTCATATAGACCACCATCGTGAACCTCGTGCACACTGAGAAATGACTATAAAATCAGTGAACTATTAAAAAATTCCAGGCTAAAAAGAAATATAGAGTTATGTCAGTATTTTCTGCATGAACTGGTATCTATTAATTCACTTTACCTTTTATGTGGATGTAAAGGTCAGAAAGATATGAAACCAGTTCATAGCAGGATCAGTGCCCTTTAGTATCTGCATGCCATGAAATAAAAAACAAAGCCATTTTGCTGATGTTTTTTCTAAGCTAATACACATTAGGTATGCACTACTAATTTTTTATTCCTTGTTTATACTCCTTTCTCAGATTGAAATTTTCTACATGTAGATGCATTCAAAAATATCTGATGCATCGTCAGATGGCTGTGGTCATTCTTAGTAAGAGAAGCACCTTATCTTTTCTTAAGGGCTAGCAATTTTGGAAATGAGGCCTTGCCTACCTGGTCAGGCTAAGTAATAACTTATGTTTAGTGTGCAGGAAAGGCAGGTCTATGAGTATCTCTGAGGGCTAGATTGAGGATGCAATCTGTCATTGTCTCTGTCCCTAGCACTTAGGTAGCCTCATGCTAGGCACTCCATAACTGTTAAACAGATGAATCTGCCTCCATTGTTTCTACCAAAAGTATGTCTCTTCAGAGTTAATAGAATGATTTGTAATGCTATGAGCCAGTATTGCTATTTATTTTAAAGAGCACATGAAATATAAGTTATATTACCTTGGGAAATATAGCTTTAAAAGCAGGCAATATGTAAGTTTTAAGTTCAATATTTAATTTACCATAAAATATGGAACACACTTTTAAAAGCTGTTTAAGTCTCCAGTTTTGGAATAAACATCATTCCTTCTCAGCACTGATAAAACTTCTTAAGTACACCAGTCCTCTGCGGTAACAAGTGGAAAATATTCTTGAAGCTGGGCTGACATTAATAGATATTACAATCTCACCATCAGAAATATGCCATCATTAGAAAAATGTAAACGGAACTTTTTTCTAATTACTTCAATATTGTGTCTTCTCTGTTACAATTCAGAAAGGTGGTGAGTAGAGATCATTTGTGCACTGGAAATAGAATATGTTTTCTAAAGTGAATATTTCTGGGATTTTGATTTTTTGCACCCTGAATAAAAAATATATGAAAGCTTTTAAAAGGCAGGCAAAATATTACTCATGATAATGCTAGATAGATAGATAGATAGATATAAAAGGTCAGCCATATATATTGTCATTTTATTACTGATCACACAGAACAGGGCAAAAATAGATTAACAGATATAAAATTGATAATATCCCACCAAACAACTTCAAATCTAGTTATAGTTAGCTCCACATTCCTGCAGCTATTTCCCTTGAACTTAGGCCAGCTGTATCCCTGTTCTGCCTTTCCTCACTGCTGATGACCCAGACACTTGTTCTTTTCCTATCGTTCACCCTCTCACTACAAGAGCTGATGACAGATAAGTAGACTTTATGGGCTTCTCTCATAGCTCAGCTGGTAAAAGAATCTGCCTGCAGTGCAGGTTCAATTCTGAGTCAGGAAGATCCACTGAAGAAGGGCTAGGCTATCCACTCTAATATTCTTGGACTTCCCTTGTGGCTCAGCCGGTAAAGAATCCGCCTGCAATGCGGGAGACTTGAGTTCGACCGCTGGGTTGGGAAGATCCCCCGGAGAAGGGAAAGGCTACCCACTCCAGTATTCTGGCCTGGAGAATTCCATAGACTGTATAGTCCATGGGATCGCAAAGAGTTGGACACGACTGAGCAACTTGCACTTTCTTTCAAATAGAGTTTATATTATAATTTGGTTTGGATATATCAGATCTCTAAAAGTCCATCCAGCTCTGAAAAATCTACAAGTCTCATCTCATGGGAATATTATAAAACAGAATCAATCAGGAGTGAGAGAAGACTTTGTGAAAAAAGATATGAAAAATAAAAGCAAAAGATGTGAAATACAAAGGTAAACTTACATATTTATATATAGAAGTTTAGGCTCTTATCCATACTAATAATACTTATGATAGCTAGGATGTCTTGGGTATTAATTTTGTCAGTATATTCACAAATGTTTTGCTCAAATCTCTCCCCAAAGCTCCTGAGACTGCATGGTCCTGATTTTACAAAGAGAATTTGTATCTTGCACAACTTAAGACAGATGATAAATTGCAGAATTTAAATCCATCGCTGCCTCTGTTTCATGCCAGAGGCCAATCAAGCTCTTAAACATTATATCAAATTTGTAGGAACAAGCCCATTGACCTAGAGTGAAAGACAGGAAGGAGTGTGGGGCTCAATTCACTCTCGATCTCTCCATCTCTCAGTCTTTCTCTCTCTCTCTCCCCCTGTTTGTCTCTTTGACAACTTTGGGCTTTAGGCAAGTCACTTGTCCTGAATTTTACTTTTCCCTGAGAAGTATGGGTAAGCTTACCTATTCTATTCTCTTTATCTTATCAGGTCATTCTGATGCTCAAATTGTACAATGTATGTGAACATATTCTGTAAATTGTAAATATGTAAATTTAAATGTTTATCATTATCAGCTATTAAGATGAAAATGTGCCTTAGGCAGGAGAGGCTACAACATCCCCAGATTTTCATTCTGTGAGACATGGAATCCTATGTTTCACAGAGACACTTGATGCAAATCAGATGCTTCCTTTAAGGGCCAGATGTTTGCTTCTAGAAATAAAAAGCATAGAATGCCTGTATAGACCTCAGAAATCTCCAATTCCTTCCTTTTAAAAATACAAAGTCTGAAATTCAAGTATTATACTGTGGAAAAGAAGACAAAAATCTGCCTAACTCCGAGATGTTTCCCGTGGAATTCACTAACAGCAAATTGAACCTCAGAGCTTCACCAGTGGCTCAGCTGATAAAAAACCTGCCTGGAGTTTAGGAGATGCAAGAGACAAGGGATAGATATCTGGGTTAGGATGATCCTCTAGAGAAGGAAGGGGCAACCCCCTCCAGTATTCTTGCCTGGAAAATCCCATGGACAGAGGAGCCTGGCAGGCTGCAGTCCTTGGAGTGTCAAAGAGTTGGACACGATTGAGTGCACGTGCATATACACACAACTTGAACCTTATTCTTGTAGCTCTAGATGTGTGACTGATTTGTGTAACCTGCTTTACTTCTCTGTACTTTTTATCAGTAAAATAAGGATAATTGTAGGATCTTCCTCACAGGGTTACTTTTGAAACATTAGAGTTAAAATATGTAAAACATTTAGAATATTGCTGACACATAGGAAGCTATTGTTAATATTACTGGCATTAGTAAGAACAAGACAGAGATTTGGGGAATTTACATTGTATTTTCTTAACAATTTTCACCATAATAGCATTTTACAATAATAAAACTTGATGATATTCCATTTTTCTTTTAAAGAAGGAAAATCATTCCAATTTGGCAAATATTAAACCCACCTGTGGAAGATCCAAAACAAGTTAGCACTCTCTCTAATGTCTAAGAGAGAATTTTCTGTAGGCTTTTTCATTATAGAATCTTGGTTTTATCAAGACATTGCGGGACATTTCAGATGAAGGGGAAATACTGGGGAAATTGGAAGGGCTTCCAGTATACCTGTGAATCTAAAACACAAAGAATACTCTAAGTTGTATAATCTTTCATGATATTTCTATTTTGTGCATTGATTGCCTTTATGGATATAAAAGCACTCACCATCTTCTTCCCCAGCTCATGCTTTAAAGCAAGTCAGTGTAATCAAGTCCAGAACTGTTCTGAAAGACCAAATCCTGGTGCAAAATGATAGGTGAGTATTAGGATAGTACTACACTCTTGGGGATTATAGACTAATTAATTACATTTTTAGCATTTAAAATGTATCCTACAAAAAGGATATGTTATGATGGATATAAAATGTACTTAGTGGTTTCCAAATTTTAAACTATAAGTTATGTGGTTGTGTCTAAGTTTTTAAGTGAGATATATGTGACTTAGTTTGTGAAACACAGTAAGTCTTAGTAATTTCTAGTCAAATTCTACTAGAAGAAATCTACTCTGATTTGTGCATGTAAGTGCTAAAAATATCCCCCAAATGAATCTATTTAGAAAAACAAGAGGAAGGAAGGAGAGAGGAAAGAATAAGAGAAAGTGAAAGAGAAATAAAAATAATAAAACTCTGACCGATTTAATTGTTATTATACTTATTTTTCCTTTTTGTAAGTAACTAAAATGAACAGTGATTGAAGCAAATTAACCTAATCAGCTATTTGCCCTAATTCTACCCCCAACAGTTACAAAGAGGAGACTGAAAGAAAGAAAGAATAGCAATGAGTCACTTTAAAAATAAGCAGCTAGAATTACTGAAAGCTGCCTGACATCAAAGTTGCTAATGTTGAGAGCTGGAATGAACTACAGAGAAATGAATACTTTAGGATCTAAAGCTCAGAACTTTGTGGTTTCAACCTTGAATTGTTCTAAAGGATTGATAGTCCTATGAATGTGTGTAGGATACAGATGGTGCAGATTGGAGCTTTGTGTGTATACCAGGTTTAGATGAGTAGGTAAACTAAATTATTCCTCTTTGATCCTGAAGACCTTGGACTGCCTCTTTTTTTTGGCTAGTTATTGTCATCCAGTCTCATGGCTTTAGTTACCTTTACGCCAAGTTTATGTCTCCAGCCCAACCTGTCCTCTGAACCCGAGAGGTGGACCCTCCTCTTGGACATCTAATCCTAGCTCATGGCAACACTGTTCTTCCAGTTATTTAGATAAAAATATCTTGCAATCACCCTTGACCTCTTTCTTTTTCCACATCCAATCCATCATCAAATCCGCATTGACTCTTATCTTCAAAGTAGATCCAATAACCCAGAATTCAAACACTACTCATCAATTTCACAGCTACCCTTTTTCCAAATCACTGTCATTTCTCACTTGAATTATTGTAATTGTCTTCTTATGAGTCTTCCTGTCAACAGCTTGTCCATGTACTGTCTGTTCACAACCTACATCAAGTGGCTTGTTTTACAGATATGAGTCAGATCATACCAGTCTTCTGCCCCAAATCTCCAAAGGTTCACATCTCAGAGTGAAATCCCAAGTCTTTACAAGGGCCTGTTAAGGGCTTCCCAGGTGGTGCTAGTGGTAAATAACCCACCTGCCAATGCAGGTAGATGTAAGAGATGTGGGTTCCATCCTGGGTCAGGAAGATCCCCTGGAGGAGGGCATGGCAACCCACTCCAGTACTCTTGCCTGGAGAATCCCACAGACAGAGGAGCTTGGCAAGCTACAATCCACGGGGTCACAAAGAGTCAGACACAACTGAAGCAATTTAGCACACACATATGCTTAAAGCTTTGGAGGACCTGAACCTGTTTATCTTTCTGATCGCAGAACCTCCTAAAGCTCATTTCACTATTCTATTCCAGCAGCCCTGACTCTGCTATTCCTGGGCAATCAGACATGCTCCTTCCCTGGGATTCCACTGGTTAGGGCATATTTCTCCCAGATATCCGTATGGCTTATGCTCTCCCACCTTCTGCAAGTCTTTCCTTAAGTGTCACCTCATCAATGAAGACTTGTTCAACCACCCTATTTTATATCACAGTATTTCCTATCCCTTCTCTGCTTTTATCCCCATAATTTTTTTAAATTACCTGCATAGTAGAAAATGTATTTGCTTGTATTTTGTCTTTCTCTTACCTCTAGGTTGTAAGCTTTATAAGAGCAGGAATTTTTGTCTTTTTGTTCTCTGTTACTGCCATCTAAATAACACATTTCAACTAAACACTCAATAGCTTGTAACCTGGTGTTCAATAAGCATTTTGAATGGATGAATAAATAACTAGAGACTGAAAGAACACTCAGGGAACTTTAAACTATCATTTTATTTTTTCTTACCATTATAACAGTGTTTCATTTATATGAGTGCAATTTTTAAGGGTCTGCAAGAAAAGCAGATCCACTGAAGTGGAAACTCTGAAGCAGACTTTGAAATTTCTGTGCTGTGGTACTTCTCTGCACATCTCTGGATCATAGTTTTCATTTGCGTATAGTCCCACTGTACACTCAATAAGTAGCTTGCTTTAAAGCTTAAAAGTGAAAAAGTAATCATTATTGTTGTAAACATAATTGTACCCTTTCCTTTATAGTAAATCATTTTCCTTATTTATAAGTCATCTTTAGTTATATTTAAATCGAACCTCTCAAAGTTTTGGTGGACCACTTTTGCATAATTTTTGCAAATTTTTTCCTTGAAAAAAGCACCCCAGTCCTTATAGAGGTTTGTTTACAGATCTGGTTTCTAAACATTTATCGAGTTATGGAGGCTCAAACAGAAACCAGCTTGCTGAAAGTTACTTCTCCAGTAAAGATCACATCAAAAAAGATTACCTCATTGTACTATGGCACATTCATGTCAACACAGCCTGGCCTCAAACTTACTTTTTAATGACTGTGATAAAAGTGTTATTGGAGGTCCCTGAATTCTCCATACCATTTTATGTTGTATATGAGAGATCAGAGACTTATTTTCATTTCTCCAAAATATGTGCATTTCTTTACATACTTCCATGTATTTCCTACTTTACAACTTTCTATACAATCCTTAGTCTAGCTTTCGTTTTTTTTTAATCTGCTTTACTTTTCAGTAAGATAACATTATACGGAGAAAATTTTCCTGACTTTCAATCTAACTTGTATTTCTTAAACTTACTCAATTACTTCCAATTTGTGCAGAATTAAGATAGACTAGAGATTGGAAGATAGAAGGAAGTAATAGCGACAACAAAGACTCTCTAGAGTGGGATGTACTGAAATAGAACAATGAATCTTCCTTGTGGAAGGATTCTCAGGAAAACTGACTACCCATCAAGAGAAAAGGTGGAAAGGAATGTGGACCAAATAATGTTTGAGAGTCTCTCCCTTTGAAATTTAAGAATTAGAATTGCTTTATGACATTAGTTTTGTTTTCAAATAGGGACTAAAATAATAGGAACTGTTTCAAAATTTTATTCTTCATTTTGTGGTTTAATTTTGTATGGTATATATTAATTATTTTATTTCCTTAAAATCCTTATTACTATCTTCCCTGAGTAAAATGAACTGGAAATGCTATTTTAGTATCTAGACTGCCCCCTTCTGGCTTTCATGTCAGACTCTATTAATCACTTTAATCCTCCCATACATACTCTGTACTTTACAACTGTAGGCTCAGTTCAGGGATAATGGTTTCAGTATGTTAATTTTATATATTTTATACAAAAATATGCAGACAGGTATTGTGCCAACTTTCCCAAGGGTTTCTGAAGGACAGAACAAGACTCATCTGTAACACTTCTCTACCAGCACAAAATAATTTGCTCTTTTAAAATTCAAATAAAACCTGTTATTCACAACAAAATGCCCTGGATCAAATGCAATATTTTTGTGGAAAAAGGATAATTAACATTGTACTTTGTGAAAACTGAAACTTTTTGTGTAATGTTCATTAAATTATTGGTGTTTGTTAGTTATATCTAATTAGGATGCTTTAATTCCCTTTTAACAGTTGAGTTTCATCGCATTTTATATCCCACTACATTAAGAATTAATTTTTTGGCTTGACACCAATGCTAAATTTGCTTATCCAAACAGAAGCCATGCCAAGGGCTTGAAGGATGATGACAGTAATTAACCCAAATCATATACCAGGAGCTATTCCAATGAAAGTGTCTGTTAAATAGTGTATCTTTTTTTTTTTTTGATGGTGAAACTGATCCGGCAAAGGGCATGTACCACGACCTCCCACAGAATGTTTCTTGACAGAAATGCCAAAGATGGGCAGGGAAAAGCTACTAAACATCAAATAGCCATTTCTTATTCTGATAAACAGAATGGGAAGCATGGAGAAATGGGGGCATGCATGTACCTCAGGTCAGAATTTCTAGAGGCCAGTTTGATATTTCATNCTGGAAAAACCATAGCTTTGACTGTACAGACCTTTGTTGGCAAAGTAATGTCTCTTCTTTTTATATTAAGTTGCGAAGACCACATGTACATTTTTTAAAAAAGTAAGACTGGTTAAGGAGCAACATTTGAATTATGACACCACACGTTTTGGAGAAGGAAATAGCAACCCACTCCAGTGTTCTTTCCTGCAGAACCTCATGGACAGAGGAGCCTGGCAGGCTACAGTCCATGGAGTCACAAAGAGTCAGACAAGAAGAGAGACTCTGTCTCTCTCTCTCTCTCACACACACACACACACACACACACACACACACACCACATATAAAGACTCCAGCAGTACTCACAAGCACCTTAGTACCAGATACCTCTGGGATATAGCATTATGAGTATTTTTCTTCCACTTCTACTCCTCTGTGTTTTTCTTCTCTCTCCTCCTTTGTCCTTGTTCTTCCTTGTGCTATTCAGTATTTTCCAAATATTTCAGTAATACAATTCCAGAAAAATTGACAGCTCCTTGGTGATGCTTGGAAATGTGTCAAGATTGAGACAGAGGAAGTGTTTTGGCCAGAGTAAGCTTTAGAAGAGGTAAGAAATAACTGGTTCAGTGCAGGGTGGTTGAGATAAACAAGTAGAGATGAAGCATATGGCAAGTAAGCTTTTTACTGTATGTATCTGGAGCTCAGAAAAGAGGTTTGGACTTGAGAATTCCATTTGAAAGTCACCCACAGAGAAGAAGTTTGTTGAAACTGGGGTTGGAGGAGATTGCTCAGAAGAGGGGCATACAAAAGGAATAATGACCAGAGCTGAGTGTCATGGAATATAAATATTAAAAGAAGACAGAGAAACTAATGGAAACCTAGACAAGTGGAAGAAAACACAAAGGTATGATGGTAAGGAAGTCAAAGGAAACATATCTTAAACAAGGGGGTGATCAATTAGGTTAATTTCTATGAAGAGTTTAGGTGAGATAGTTTTCAAAGTATCCCAAAGTATCCCAAAGTAAGTATTGTACTTACTTTATCAAGGCCGCACTGATGGAAACCCTTTCAGCCAGGTGTTGGAAAGTTCAAGGAGAAAAACAAGATGGTTTGGCAGAAAAATATTTGGCTACAGAAGGAAGGCAGGAAGTAAGAGGGTAACTGAACACAGGAATGAGGGTGGAATCATTTTTGTGGTGATGGTATTAATTAAAAGATGAGAAAAAAATGTGTAGTTCTTTGTGGGCTGATGGGAAAGAGATGCTTGAAAGGAAGTAGATGAAGATTAAAAAAGAGAGAACAATTGAGGGTCTTAAAATTTGCCATGCGATAAAATGATCCCTTGCATCATTCCTTTAAAGATGGATTTCCAGAGGGGGAATCTTACAATCTGCATTTTTATCAAGCACTATCAAGTGACTCATCAACAGGAAAGTATGGAAACAATTATAGTTAATGGATGTCTTTTGAGGAAATGGGCAGAATGTGATTCAGATCATAAGGTTATCCTTGGATCTGAGGAGAGAACTATCTTTGCTTTTTATAGGAGAGAGTCAGAAGAGGCAGAGTGGATATGCAGGTAAATGTAGAAATGTGGCAACTGACGTCCCTGTCTGCTTTGACTTTCTCCATCAGATAGGATGTGAAGGCCCCTTCTGAGAGATGCAAGAATTTCTAGGCACTATGAAAACCCACATGGAAGGAAGATACTAATTTATGGTGGAGCCAGTTTGCAAGGCTTTATGATCTTTTGAAGTAGCAGTCCATGGATAGGGAGCAAGTGTGATCAGGACTGGCTTGTGAGTTCTAACGTTGAAGCTTAATAGAAAGAAAAGGAAAACGATTAAAGTTTAGAATACCACCACCATTTGGGTGACATGTAATCATGGAGTACAGGCTGAATAATGAAAAGATTCAAGACAGGATGTAGATGTGCTTAGTCCTGAGAGTTTTCCTAAACATGGGACAGTCGATGCTAAAACCAGAAAGACGCCAGGTAGACCAGGATCATCAATCATCCTAGGGAGCATGGATGATAGAAACTTGCATTTTTAACCTGAGAGTCTCAATAGAATAAGAACCAAATATAGTGAGACTAACTGAATGTACAATTTAGAAACAGAAGAGTCTACATTATGGCCAGAGGCTGAAATAATTAGAGTTGGGTTAGCAAAGGTGGATTAGTTCCAGGTAATAAGATTCATGGTTTATGGTCATGAAAGTTGATGGCCAATGTAGCATGCAGCTGACAGACTCTAAAAGTATGAAGGTCATGAAGTTGAGAAGAGATTGAGTTTAATACAGTTGTCCTTGTCAGCTATGCCATCCCCTAGAATGGTGGCAGAATAAGGTGGCATGAATTAGCTTGATGCTAGTCTTCTGGTAGGACAGGAGGCAAGGACCTGAGGAGGCACAAATTATGGTACAGCCAGATGGAATTAGTTTAAACCATCTAGGAGTCTGGCTCAAGTTTGAAGGATAATTTTCTAGAAGAAACAGTGAAAAAATCAGGCAATATGCCTTGGCTCTAAAATATGTGGGGTATGGAAGAATAAACAATTTCCTTTCCAGAAGATTAAAGAAACAAAGTCAGGTTGCCGTTAATGAAGCAGATGAATGTGCAAAAAAAGGGATTAAGAATGTATAACTTTTAAAAACTGGTTGGTCTAAAAATCTAAAGGAAAAAAAGAACATTGTCTTGCTTTATCAGGCCCTTATTGGATGAAAGAAAACAGTTCTCAGTGAGAAAAGAAAAAATTCCTGTTGGTGGGGTAAGTACCAGAATAACTAGTGTTATTTGTTACCAACCACTCCCATGTAAGTATTATTAACAAATACCATCTATTTTTTTTATTAAATTTGAAGGGAGTTGCTATATAATATTTTGGACAAATTAAAGTAAATGAGGTATTGGACATTAGAGTGATGTTTAGTTATTTAGCTATGTATATTTAGCTGTGTATATTCTTATTTACTAAAGATATTTAGCTATGTATATTTCGTTATGTATATTCTTGTTAGTGATAGTAATTAACATTATTTGATGACTTATTTTTAAGCCTTCAGGACTGTGCAGGTACTTTGCTTATACTTAGAAGGTGGCTACTATTATTGTTTCAATTTATAAGTGAGTAATCTGAGGATTAGAGGAGTTAATAATTTGAATCAAAGTCATAAAGCTTAGAATATAGCACAGTAGGTTTAAATCTAACTTTTAGTATGACTTTTAATTACAGTAATTTATCATTTTTTAAAAACAATTTTGCTTTTAGGTGAAGTTTCCAGTCATCCTAAAGTATCTTCAAGCCTTCGGCTGGCTCTGGGTGTGGCTGAATGTGGCCACTTGCCTGGGGCAGAATTTGCTGAGGACTGGACAGAATCTCTGGCTTAGTACCTGGGCAAAAGAAGCAAAGCACATGAATGATTTCACAGAATGGAAGCAAATAAGAAGCAATAAATTAAGCATCTATGGATTACTGGGATTAATGCAAGGTTAAAAAAAAAGTCTAGCTTTTTTTTTTTTCAGTTGCTTTTCTTTTCTTTTTCTAACCTAACTGATCTGGATGCAAGCATAAGGCATTTTTTTTTTAAATCTACGCCATAATATTCAGATGCTCTGGGATAATTCAAATACATATATTTTTAATTCATCATATTTGAGAGAGTAAACAGAAACTTGTATGTGTCAACTACATGACCCATACTGAAAAATTTGTCTCATTTAATCTTGCCAGTTAAGCATTTAGAAAGGTATCATTATCCCCATTTTACAGCTGAGAAAATGGAGGTTTATCTGTTAAGTCATTCAGGACTCAAAGTCTTGACTCTAGGGCCAGTCACCGTATGTGGGAGCCTGGTGACTGATGTGAAGATCAGTCAGTAAGTCTGTTAAAAACTGCATTGTAAGTGAAGTTTACTACTGCTTGGCAAGCAGTATTTGTATAAAATAGTATAAGATGACACTGGGAGGATTTAGAGCAGGGGAAAGCTATATTTGGTTAAGAAATTAAGATAATACCCAAGGCATAGTTGGCATTTGAGGCAACACTGAAAAGATGGATTGAGGTTTGTCAGAGATCACAGAGAAGGGGAGGTGAGAGATGCAGAGAAAGATGTTCAGAAAGACGGGTAGGAAAGGTGAGGGGGATGTAGGCACAGCTGAGGATGCCAGTCTGAGTCATCTTCAGGTAACTGATGGGGCAGTAGAAGAACAGAAAGGTAGTTTGGAAATGTGTTAAAGATGATGGTTGAAAAGGCAAATGTAAAACTTTGAGAATTGGGGGGAAAACATGACAGAATGTGGAATTATTTTCAGAATATGAATAAATTTGGTGTGATGAAAAAAACAGATGGATTTTTATTGGAGGGACTAAAGTCAGAGACCAGGGAGAAGTTGGGATCAGTAGAGATAAAAATAATCAAGTATTTTCAGGCATCTAGATGAGAGAGAATCTAGTACAAAAAGGTCTCTTATCTGATCCATCTCCTTGTCACCAAAAGCATCTAGTCCAGTGCTAACCAATGGGTAGGGAATGGAATAAGACTAAATAAATTATGAATGGAGGAAGGGTCAGAGAACTGCAGTGGGGTTGGAGAAAAGGGGTGGATAGGAAAGACATTGCGGTGAAAAGATATATAAAATTTGTTGTGGGTGAGAAGAGAGCATCACTTGAGATTTTGAAGTTCGAGTAATTGGGAAAACAATGAAGACAAAAATAAAGAAACCAGTGGGGAAGAGTGTCAAGTGCTAGAACAGAGAAATTATGAATTCAATTTGGAACACCTTTAGTGGGAAGTGTGGATGTATTTTTCTGCTGTTTTTCCCCCCAGTAAGCAAAGTAGATTCACACTGTCCTTCAAAGAAGTTGAGTGATTTGAAAGAGGAAGAAGAAAGATTCTCAAAAGTATAGTACTCAAAAGTACAGAACCATTAAAGGAAATGTTTTTTAAATTAGAGACAATCTTTGTGTATTTATAAGGAGAAAAGAGGATAACGTGAAGGAGAGCAATAAATAAGAAATAACAAATCAGCTACATGGAAGTCTTGCTATCTAAGGATATGCATCAGGAAAAACAGAAAGAATACATGCTTTTGGTAACAGAAAATGAGGATAACATTTAAAAGTATGTGACTCAAGGCTTTGCTTTGTTTTTTACTCTCCCATCTTATTTTTTTATTATGTCCCCATAGTACTAGCTATAAGTATCTCCGTGGAAAGTAAACAAATATTTTGAGGCAAATTTATGCTTGTTTTGTCATTCTGTTACACTCATTGGGAAAAGAGGTTTTATGTTAATAACTAAAATGAGATTCAGAGATTTAGAATGTGCTTGGTTCTAAACCAGTGAGTCAAGTTTATTGTCTCATGGTTTGCAACTCAATGAGGTGAAGGTAGATTTAGAGATATAGCAATAGAATGCTGAGCAGCAAAAGAAATATCCCATATACATCTCTATGCCTATGTCTATCATCATATATAGGAGAGTTAAACTCTTATCGACCTACTGAGCTCATGTTACAGTTTTAAGGGAGATTCAGTATCCTTTGGAGAATATTTTAAGTGACCAAATAACTGTTATTTTCCTATACTAAGCAAGGTATGCAAGTTTAGTATTCAAAATTTTACTCATTTACTTAATTAACTGTCAGGAGGTGTAAAAAGTATTTTGTAATGAAAGTAACAGATTATATACAATTTAATCAAAAAGATTTTTTCATTACTGGATTTTTATTTTTTACATTTAAAAAATTTAAAGTTTTGACTTATTATTAAATGTAATTATGTTATAAATTTTAAATTACTTCATAAGAAATGTAACTCAATAATTTCTGATTTTATTAGTGGTCCACAGCTGCATCCTGTGGAACCTGACTCAATCAAAAGCAGGCTGTATTCACTGATATCAAAAAAGCTTACATTACTTTTTGAGCTTTAAAACATAAATAGCACTTTCACATGTTAATACCAGAGGCCTGGTATGAATAATATAGAAGGCTAACATTCAAACAAAACTGGACTACTGAAGCAGAAAATACTGCATCTATATTTTATAACAATGATAACGATCCTACCTTATCTTCTGAAAAAGAAATAGCCCTAAACATTTTATTTCTGGTTCTCAGCTATATGCTGAATCTCTGGAACACTCTGGACATCCCTAATCTATTGTGTTTTATGCCTCCTTGTTAGGAACTTCTTTTCCAACCCAATGTGTAAAATATAGACACCTTATTTTCAAAGTGGAGTGTTTAAGGAGTACACTGCTACTTCCTGTTTGAGATGAATGAGTGGATCATTTACTTTACTTACCTCGCAAAATTCCACTGAAATGACAGTGAACAAATCCAAACGTAAAGGGTTCAGGGAATTTTACAGTGATGAATTTCTATATAAGCGATTATACTGATAATCAAGGTAGAAGAACCTGTAACCAGGAGCAAATACTAGATGAAGCTGTAAAGCATACTAAGTGGTTCAGTCTATCCACTGGGGAAACACAAGTACAAGGAGTGAGATTAAGTAGCATAGAAATAATCCAAGTGGTTCCCTAGAGCTTCGTTCTGACCTGCCAGCCTCCCCTACAACCCGCGCCTGATCCCCAGCACTATTCATGTATTATTATATACCAGCTGGCCCAGTAGTAGTACAATGAAAACCAGGAGCTGATGCTTAAAAAGAAAATGAAGGTTACTAGTGTGTGTGACGTATATTAAAGGTGGCCTCCTTATGTGGCTTTTGAAGAAGTTCCAGCCTGCATGTCTAAATCACGATATCAGACTTGCAGGGTCACACCCACTGACATGGAACTTCCATTCAGAGGAGAATGGAAAATGTTGGGGGGAAATTAATTAATTACATTAATTAATGTATATGCTGGCAATATATACCAAGTACCTCTTGATTAAGCATGTCTTAATTAATTAATTATTATTTGTATATTATTTTTATTAAATATTAATAATTAATGTATATGCTTGGTACACCAAGTACCTCTGAGTTAAGCGTGTCTTTATCTCACATGTTTAAACTGGTCATGGTGGATGGTCATGCATTTTAATCAAGTGAACAGTATAAATAAGAGCTAACAAATAGAACAGTGGAACGAAGAAGTAAAATACTCATACTCGCTTGGTATATAAGAGAAGCTTAAAATATCTAATTAGTATCTTTAGATACTCAAATGGCAGAAACAAAGCAAGTGCAGAATGTGCTGAAATGAGGTCAATCTAAGAGCAAGAAAGTTCTTAAAAATTTTAAAGAATTTAAAGAGATTGTACAAATGTGAGAAGATAAATTGGAGGAGATAGTCCCAGATGTACAGCATCAGAAACAGATGGCAGATGATAAATAAGGAGAAATTAGAGTAACAATCCAGGATGTTCAACATCCCTATAGTAAGACTTTCAGTAAATGCAGATAGAAATTATCAAATATATAATATGTAACAACATTTTCTGTGATTGGGGAAAATTGAAGCCTGTCCCCACAAATGTTCCAGTTTAGAGCAGAAATACAGGAGGTTCCAAGATAGTACTTTGTGTTGCAAGAGGAAGGGGCAAAAGAGGATAAAAGAAATAATAGAATATCTGATGAGTTCGAATATATTCAAAAGAATTTTGCTGAGTATTGAATTGTTTGGGAATAGATGAGTTCTTGTTGCATAGAAAAATAGTGGTACAAGCATTGTAAATGTAGTGAACTTCATGAATATTATGTTTAGTAGTAATGTAAATACTGAATATTTGAGGGGAAAAAGGGCAACAACCTGTTTTTAGAAGGGCTAGAAAGTGTGGGGGATTGAGGTAGGAAAATAATAGGAAATATTTAAGAGTAAGAAATTATTTAACAGTCGTGTGTGATGTTATTTAAAATAGAACTAGCTAAAATAATTTGAGGTGGTCAGGGTCAACTATTTTTGTTTTGCTTTGTTTTACACATTATACCTATAAGAATCGTGTTGCCAACACACTTTTATTAACAATTTTATATAGTAGAGATCAACAAAGTAATTGTGTATCCCAGAAGACTCAAAAGCAAATGTCTCAGATAACATGAAAGTTTACTGATGCCTCAAACGGAGAAGTCCAGGCACAAGTCTTTAAACTCACTTGATCCAGGGAGCTCAAACTAAGTATCCACTACTCTTTATTTATCAGTTCTACTCATTTTCCTCATTTGCTTAATCCTTAAGCTTCACATGGTGATGGAAATGTTATCTTTCAAAGAATTCCCCTCCATAGAAACCCAGGAAATTACTCTCCTTGAAACAGCTGAGTTACATATCCATCTTTGAATCAATCATTATAACCAAACATCTCTTCTTCCAACCTTACAAGTTCCCAAGTTGGTGATTCTTTGTCCTTTCATTTCTTCTTGCACACCTGGATAGCTCTTTTCTGAGCTTGCCTCTTTCTTGTTATATTCAGTATTTTGTCTAACACAGCTCGTAATCGTCAATAGATGTTGTTAACTGTTTTTTAACCTCTTCCACTAAAGCTACATGTTGATTATATTTTCTGACTTTCTAGTTTGTCAAGAGCAACCTTTCCAGCAACCACATCTCTGTAGCTTGACAGACCAAAAAGTTTTTTTCTCTCTCTCACCCCTTTTGTGTTTTTTTTCTGGGGGGGGGTTTTTTTTGTTTCTCGCGCGTTGGTTGGGCAAGCTGCCTTTTTTTTTTTTTTAACTTTGGCAGGCACTGTGCAAAGGGAATAGGAGCTTTAGCAGTTCAAACACCAACAATTAAATGCTCTAATCTGAAAGTATCATGTGTTATTTCTCCCTCAGTGTATTGTTCAGAACTATTTCTTTGGTGTCTCCAATCACAGGGGGGCCAAAAAGTTTAATTCTACCATGGACCTAGAAGCTAGGAGAACTGAAACTATTTGCCTAGTAGCACTAGTGACTGCCATTGTCCCTCAGGACATTATAAAGTTAATACGTTGCTAAAATTCTATCCACCTGCTTGATCTCATCTTCAGAGCATTTCTTTAGAAGCTATGCTCAAAAATAAGAGAGCCCTGCTCTGATACCCCATCAGAGCATCTGTATTTATTTTCAGCGTGCCATGTACATTTATGCTTAGTTTGGTCCAGAGTTACACATTCTAAAGTTTGATACTTGAGTTTTCCATTAAAAATAAATTCTACAATATGCAGTTTCTTGAGTGTTAAAATTTGAAGTTGAAGCTGTTAACATGTCCCTGATAGCAGTTTGTGTTTAGGTCTCTGTGTGTGCTCTGGAGCTTATGTAGTCACCAGGGGATCCTTGGCTGCCTCTCGAGTTTTGCATGCTCAGCTATTGGACAATGTGCTGCATCTCCCACTCCAGTTTTTTGAAACCAATCCCATAGGCCAGGTCATCAGTAGGTTCACCAAGGTAAGGAAACCCTATCTTATTAGATAGCATATGTAAATAAATGATGACCCACATTTAGTACTTTATAATCTCATTTGGGAAAAGTGTCATTCTCAAAAAATGAGATTATGTTCAGTGTAGATTTCATTGTTTAATTTCTAATTCTTGGGACATTCCTAATTGATGTATAACAGAGTCACATCTCACACACAGAATTAAAATTCTTAAAAATTGTTGAAAGAATCCAAGAAGTGCATGTGCTCTGGTGTCTGTAGCTCCAATTCTTACACACATTTAGTTAATCAGTGGTTCAGACAGAGAAGGGGAAGAATATGTAAGTCTATATTGAGATATCTGGATTTTAAGCATTGTACCTTTAAAAAAATATCTTTATTTCTTTATGTGGCTGCATTGGGTCTAAGTTGCCTTGTGCAAGATTTTTCATTGCAGCCCACAGACTCTCTAGTTGTGGCAAGTGAACTCTGTAGTTACGGCACACAGGCTTATTTGCTCCATGGCATGTGGGATCTTAGTTTCCTGACCAGGGACTGAACCCACATCCCCTGCATTGCAAAGTGAATTCTTAAGCATTGGACCACCAGAAAGTCCCTAAGCATGCTTGCTGCTGCTGCTACTGCTGCTAAGTCACTTCAGTCGTGTCCGACTCTGTGCGACCCCAGAGACAGCAGCCCACCAGGCTCCCCCGTCCCTGGGATTCTCCAGGCAAGAACACTGGAGTGGGTTGCCATTTCCTTCTCCAGTGCATGAAAGTGAAAAGTGAAAGTGAAGTTGCTCAGTCATGTCCGACTCTTCGCGACCCCATGGGCTGCAGCCTACCAGGCTCCTCCCTCCATGGGATTCTCCAGGCAAGAGTACTGGAGTGGGTTGCTATTGAAAAAACTTTTTGAAAAACCTTTTAAAAAAACTATCAACTCACTAATAACAAATGAGGAATGGATGGAGGTTCCCAGAATGTCTCTGCTTACCTATAGGGTTTTACCCATTGTGTTTACAACTAAGTACTGTCCAGTAAAATATTATGCAAACCACCTAGGTAATTTAAAATTTTCTAGTAGCAACAATAGAAAATGAAAAAGAAACAGTTGAAATAATTATTTATAATAGTATATCTTAATATGTAGAGTACCTGACACCTAATATCTGAACATTAATGTGTAATAAATATAAAAATATTAATTGAATATTTTGATTTTTTATTCTTACAAAATCTTCAGAATCTGATTTGTGTTATAGACTTCAGTTATATCTCAATTTGCAGTAGCCACATTTCGAGTACTCAATAGCCATATATTTGCTAGGGGCTCCTGTATTAGACTGTGCATAGCCATAACCTTAAAATATGGCAGTCGTATAAATCAAGTGTCATGTAGTTGTGATTGGGAAGTGCAGACTGCTTGATCATAAACATCTTGAGACTATAAAACCCTCTTAATTGTTATAACTGAAAAATATGTGGGGGTGAGTTGAAAAGGGCAAAAATCATTTAAGATTCAGATTGTCACTTTTGGGTAAATGGTTTTATTTTTACACTGAATGATATATGTCTTCCTACCCTCATTTTAAACCATGAAAAGTTAAAAATAAAGTGATCTGATGTCAAATTTTTCAGGATATGTTTATAATTGATATGCGTTTCCATTACTACATACGGACCTGGGTGAACTGTACACTGGATGTTATTGGAACAGTTTTGGTCATTGTGGGAGCTTTGCCACTCTTCGTTCTGGGGGTTATTCCCTTGGTTTTCCTTTATTTCACTATACAGGTAAGTTCATGGATTTGTATGTTTTCATAACTTCCAAGTTCACAGTCAAATGCTAGTTGGGCTTCTCTAATGGCTCAGATGGTTAGGAATCTGAGGAAGAAGAGAAAGGAAGAGGATTGGGTAGGAAGTCTTGGACTGCGGAACAGTTTCATAAGAGGTTTGGTTGAATGAATGGAAAGTCCACAACCAACACTGCCCATTGATGCTCCCATGTGACCTCTGAATGAGTCTGTTTTAACATTCCTTCCATGCTGAGTCATTTTCTGGGAGCCACCTGAGGGAAAAATGGCCTCCATTCTAAAATAGGAGTGGATTTGGAAAGGCAGCAGCCATGCTCTCAGCCAGCAATGTACCCTGCAACAGGAGAACTGAGTTGTGCATTTTTATGGCCACCACAAAACCTAGGTGTTATTTACATTTTAGCAGAAAGTCAATTTGCCTGAAGATTCAAGAGAGAAATAAATATTCCCTTTTGCCCTGTTACCCTGCTATCAAGAAACTATTGCTGGAAGTACTAAACAGGTCTCTCATGATAGCTGTATACCTTTATATTCTAATTAAAATGTAGTCAGCCAATTTGAATTCCAAAATAATGTCACTGGGAGGCTATAGTGTAACAACAAAATTTCTTAGCACTTGTTTAAATTAAATATAACAGTGTTTTGAGGCTCTTTATATGAAAGGATGCAGTTCTTGTAGTTTAATGTTTTCTCAAAACCCAGATTTTAAAATTCTTATTGGAGTTCAGTTTGTCCAAATCAAGCTGTTAATCATTTGCTCATTTCTACATGTCTACTATCATTATTGTTCCTATTTCTTATGATGCCCCTCTTCTCTCTGCTACCTGGATCTTACTTACCCTTTATGCATTGGTTATATTCTACTTTCTGTGTGAAGCATTCTCTACCAAAACAGTGCAAAGATATGACTTATGAAGGTATTATGGACTTATTATACTATATTATTATAGTATATTATTGTATTATGCTATATTATTTTGTAGGCTGTTTTGGTTTTGTTTTATTTTTTAGTAGACCTAAAATTGTCTCCTCAATAAGACTGTAAGTTCTCTGGGACAGAAACTATGTTTTATAGTTTAGAAAATAACCAAGAAGTTGATGAATGATGTTGGGAATCAATTGTATCTGCTTAAAAAACCAAAAACAACAAAATGTATCACAAGTGAAAATTTTGTGGTTGATGCAGTATAATAGGGTGACTAGGAATGAAAAAGAGTCTAGAAACCATGTTTTGTGAAGGGGAACTTAGTAGGTTGAGCCCCAAACATAGACTCAGGAGCCTCAAATTCTAGTCACTTTCTTGACTTCTGTGCTTCGTATATCATTCCCTTTCCAATCTTCATTTCTTTCACCTGTAAGATAAGAAGTTAGATCAGTGCTACTCAAAGTGCGGGCCATGGACCCATGGACCTATTGAATCAGAATCTCCAGTTGTACCTCTTCTTTTAAAAATATATTTTGCAAGCAAATATATATAATTTTTATTTATCATCCTCTAGCAGAGCTGGGGTGGGGGGATGAAGAATCTCTCAGGTTGGGGCCCAGAAATCTGTGTTTTTTAATCCTTTGGTAATTTCTGCTGAAGTATGAGACGCATTAATCTAGATCAAAGGTTCTTAAGCTCAGAGCTCTGTATAATTTTATGGAGAGACTCCAGGGCTTCAACAATTCATTGAACTTCTACGAAATTCTCTTTGGGACAATCTCTTAAGTCCCCTGGCAGGCTCAGAATGCCATCATCCTTTGTATTCTACAGAACACTTAGCATAGAGCAGAGCTTGTAAAGTCCAAGATGACAGACCACATGTGGCTTCAGATATGTTTTCACTTAGCTAGCTCAATGTTTTTACCAAAATTAAGACATTTTTAAAATCAGGAATTTTACATAAAAGATTTTCCTGAAAAAAAAATTGCAAGATATGGCAACTCTTTATTTTCACTTCCCAGTTTGTAGCAACTATTTGGGGCTGATGAATGATGGTTCAATTAACTCAGGCTTACTCCTAGCTCTCCACAGACCACTCATCCCAATTGTCCAGAGGGGAAGCACCGATTATAATTGTGGCCATATTGAAATTTTTTAGTGGAAAAAATTTTCCATAATTATAGTTAGGTATAGGTGGCTCAGATGGTAAAGAATTCGCCTACAATGCAAGAGACCTGGGTTTGATCCCTGAGTCAGGAAGACCTCATGGAGAAGGGAATGGCAATGTTGCCCAGTGTTGTTGCCTGGAAAACTCCAAGGACAGAGGAGCCTGGTGGGCTACAGTCCATGGGATGGCAGAGTTGGATGTGACTGAGCAAATGAACACATTCACTATCACAAAAATATTATTGTTTGTACGCTTGGTAGGCTTCCTTCATTTAATGGGTTAACCACCTGGCCACGCTTTCAGCTATTTAACATAGACCTTTTTCCACAGTAAGGGTTGTTTGAGAACATTACCAAGGTGAAATTTTCCCTATTATGTTCAAATTGTGCTATTCAGAATTTGGGCTTTTTACTGTTACTAACACTTTCACTTTCACTGTTAAAAAAGTACATTCCTTTCTTGGGGCTCCTATAACAAACTTGGTGGTTTAAAACAACAGAAATTTTATTCTTTCACAGCTCTAGAGGCCACAAGTCCAAAATTCAGGAGTAGGCCTCTGTTGCATGCTTCTGGTGACTTCTGGTGACTGTCTGTCAGTGACCCCTGGCATTTTCCTTGACTCCCAGGTACATCACTCCAATCTTGTCCTCCATGGTTTTCTCCCTAAGTGTGTGTCTTCTCTATTTTTTATAACAACACTCAGACCGGATTTCAGGCCAACCTTAAGGATCTCATCTCAAGATATTAATGACATCTGCTAATATCCTCTTTCCAAATAAGGTCATATTCACAGGCAATGGAGGTTAGAACTTGAGCTTAACTTTTGGGGATTGCTCATTAGCCCACTACACACATGTCTTGCCATTTTCATACTGCTGAAGAAATTTTGGCTACATCTTCAAGACCGCCTCTTTCTGTTTTCATGTTAGAGATGCTACATGGCGAGCTCTCGGCAGATTCGACGACTGGCAGGAGCGTCTCGCTCTCCAATCCTTTCCCATTTCTGCGAGACTCTGCTGGGAGTGTCCACTATCAGGGCATTTGGACATGAACAGAGGTTCATCCAGCAAAACAAAGAGGTGGTGAATGAGAACTTGGTCTGTTTCTATAACAATGTGATTTCAAACAGGTAAGTCATATCCACATACCTAATTCAGGACTAGTCCCTTCTTGGATATTTTGTTTATTGACCTCTAAATAGAGTATTTTTAGTAACATTTCATCAAAAATATTAAAACCTTAAATATTTCTAGTATTTAATTCACATTTATGTTAAAGTATATCTATTTATATCCATATGAGCAGTCCATGCTACTTATGTGAATATAAGGTCCTATGTTTTTTGAAAGTTAGAGGATGCTATAAAAATTACTAAAGATATGATTCTATGTTGTATTTATGTTTGTAAGTGGATATTATTTGCATACAATAATTTATAACATTTTTAANTATGTTTTTTGAAAGTTAGAGGATGCTATAAAAATTACTAAAGATATGATTCTATGTTGTATTTATGTTTGTAAGTGGATATTATTTGCATACAATAATTTATAACATTTTTAATTTGAAGCTATTCATCTGGTGGGGGGCAATGTTAAATAGTAGTTGGGCACATTTTAACTTTCAGAGATTAATTTCATTGTATAAAATGTGTATGTAATCAGAAAGGTAAGTGATTTTTCAATGAGATTTTAAAATAAATGCATCATTTAAGCTGGTGTTCTTTTTCTTTTCAATTCTGATTAAGTTGTGGACTCTGGGAGAAGGAGAGGGTGGGATGTTTCAGGAGAACAGCATTGAAACATGTATATTATCTAGGGTGAAACGGATAACCAGCTTGAAAGTTAGAGGATGCTATAAAAATTACTAAAGATATGATTCTATGTTGTATTTATGTTTGTAAGTGGATATTATTTGCATACAATAATTTATAGCATTTTTAATTTGAAGCTATTCATCTGGTGGGGGGCAATGTTAAATAGTAGTTGGGCACATTTTAACTTTTAGAGATTAATTTTATTGTATAAAATGTGTATGTGATCAGAAACGTAAGTGATTTTTCAATGAGATTTTAAAATAAATGCATCATTTAAGCTGGTGTTCTTTCCTTTTTCTTTTTAATTCTGATTAAGTTTAAAAGCAAAGTTCTGCAAAAGTAAAACATATTTTTATGCAGAGAAATTCTTTATTGTCATTGCAACCGTCCTATGTTTGATTGAGTCTTAAGTAAGTGAGAAAAAATAGAAAGCAGCTATTGATGTTTATGTCTTCATTTCCCAGAGGAGGAGAGTTCATATTGAGTGCACCAAAACTTTTGCATCTCATTTCAGGAATATTTTCCATTATTTCAGGTGGCTGTCTGTTAGACTTGAATTTCTTGGCAACTTAATGGTGTTCTTCACTGCAGTGCTTACTGTGCTGGCTGGCAATTCTATAGATTCAGCAATAGTTGGTTTGTCTATATCCTATGCCCTAAATGTAAGTAATAATGATTGTGTGGTATATGACATGTTTATAATCCAATTAATTAAGCTCTCTTCTTTTCCCTGTCTGAATAAAAGATGGTAGTAACTAAGTAATGAGAGACAAATCTGGATTACCCTGGAGGCACATTTCTTTTTCTCTTCTGCTACTAGCAAAATAGCTGGCTCAGCAGTTCTAAGGTAGCTCACAGAAAGAAAAGGCTGATCCCCAAGACTCAGTGCTAGAGGACCAGGATCCCAGTGTTGCATCATTACCCAGACATGTCATCCTCTCCTATCCTTATAGACTGTAAAGTGTAACAAGGATAGGGGGCTTCCCAGGTGGTGCTAGTGCCAGTGCAGGGTAGAGGTTAGAGATGCAGGTTCAATCCGTGGGTCAGGAAGATCCTTTGGTGGCGTGGCAACCGGCTCAAGTATTCTTGCCTGGAGAATCTCATGGAGGGAGGGGCCTAGAGAGCTACGGTTCATAGGGTCACAAAGACAAGACTGGAGCAACTTAGCATGCACACACACAACAAGTGTAGGGCCTTTCTTTACCATGTCCTGTCCATCTATTATGTTGGGGCAAACATAATTGTGGCTTCAGACCATGAATTTTAAATCTTTGTAACTAGGCTCTGCTGCTGCTGCTGCTAAGTCGCTTCAGCCGTGTCCAGCTCTGTGCGACCCCATAGACGGCAGCCCACCAGGCTCCTCTGTCCCTGGGATTCTCCAGGCAAGAACACTGGAGTGGGTTGCCATTTCCTTCTCCAATGCATGCATGCATGCTAAGTCGCTTCAGTCATGTCCGACTCAGTGCAATCCCATGAACAGCAGCCCACCAGGCTCCTCTGTCCATGGAATTCTCTAGGCAAGAGTACTGGAGTGGGTTGCCATTTCCTTCTCCAACTCGGCTGTAACACATCTTTATTAATCAAAATAGGAACCTTTACAATCAATGTATTTTTGCCAATGAGAAATAAGTTTGTTTATTCCTGTAGCATAAAACTCCATGCTTCAGGATTTGACGAACTCTTGAAATGCATTTGCTGCGTCCTGCTGGTTGTGGAAACATTTTTCCAGCAAAAAGTTGTGGAGATGCTTGAAGAAGTGGTAGTCGATTGGCAAGAGATCAGGTGAATAAAGTAGATGAGGCAAAACTTCATATCCCAATTAGTTCAACTTTTGAAGCATTGGTTGTGTGACAGTGGTAGGGCATTGTCATGGGGAATCGAGCCTTTTCTATTGATCAATCCTGGCTGCAGCAGTTTTTGGTGCATCTCATCAATTTGCTGAGCATGTTTCTCAGATGTAGTGGTTTTGCCAGGATTCAGAAAGCTGTAGTGAATCAGACTGGCAGCAGACCACCAAATAGTGACCATGACCATCTTTTGATGCAAGTTTGGCTTTGGGAAGTGCTTTGAAATTTCTTCTTGGTCCAACCACTGAGCTGGTCATCACCGATTGTCTATAAAATCCACTTTTCATTACACATCACAATCTGATGAAGAAATGGTTTGTTGCTGTTGTGTAGAATAAGAGGAGATGACACTTCCAAATGGCATTGTTTTTTAATTTCTCGTCAGCTCATGAAAGTGAAAGTCACTCAGTTGTGTCCAACTCTTTGAGACCCATGGGCTGTAGCCTGCCAGGCTCCTCTGTCCATGGGGTTCTCCAAGCCAGAATACTGGAAGAGTTGCCATTCCCTTCTCCAGGGGTTCTTCCACCCAGGGATCGAACGCAGGTCTCCTGCTTTGCAGGCAGATTCTTTACCATCTGAGCTACCAGGGAAGCTCATGAGGCACCCACTTACTGAACTTTTTTACCTTTCCGATTTGCTTCAAATGCCGAATGACTGTAGAATGGTTGATGTTGAGTTCTTCGGCAACTGCTCATGTTGTTGTAAGAGGGTCAGCTTTGATGATCTTCTCAATTGGTCCTTGTCAACTTCCCATGGCCAGTCACTATGCCCTCATCTTCAAGGCTCTTGTTTCCTTTGCAAAACTTCTTGAATCACCACTGCAGTGTGTGTTTATTAACAGTTCCTGGGCCAAATGCGTTGTTGATGTTTCAAGTTGTCTCCAATTTGAACTCGAATAATAACATTGCTCAAATTTGCTCTTTTTCTAACATCATTTCCATAGTCTCAAATAAATATAAAATAAGCAGCAAATAATAAGTTATTAGCAAAGACACAAAGTAAGAAATGTGCATTAAAATGATGTATAATGTAACCACATTTATTTAAGAATGAATTCCAACATCAAATGGCTAATTTCAACAGTGCAAAAACTGCAATTACTTTTGCACCAACTTGATAGCTTTTCCAACCTAAGCAGAGATAGTGCAAGTTCTGGGAAGAATATATGCTCTGCTTTTTCTCTGCTTGTACTTTTTTCCCCTAATAAGCTCTATGTATATTATACTGCAAAGTGCTAGTGGTATGGCTGTGTTCAGATCCCCTTCGTAAAATAGAAAATGTCTTATACTGCTTTATATATATACATATTATTTATAAGGTGAGTTTAGATGATTTGGGTACGTGCTCTTAATCTCTTATCTAAAATCTTCAAGGTGAAAGGAAATATACTATATATATATATGTGTGTGTGTGTATATATATGTGTGTATATATATATATATATATATATTGCAGTGAAACATGTGAATGTGTAGCATAAGTGAATTAAATCAACACTTTAAAGAGGCCCACATTAGTTCAAGTCAGGTTGGCCATCAAATTATTTAACAACAAACAAGAAACATTTGAATTGTGAGGGCTTTTTGACTTTCAGAACTACACTTGAGGTTATAACCTTGGAGAACTTGTATTTTGAGGAATGGTGAGTGTGAAGAATGTAGAGTTTGGGGGGGAAAAAGGAGTCAGTTGTAGTCAGAAAATTAGAAGAATCCTTCTTCTAGTGGAAAATAGTAAAGTGTGGCAAAGGTAACATCATGCACAAATTTTTTCCCCACTTAGGATGTACATTTCTTAGGGCCTATCCCATCAGTCTTGGTATTCATCTTTCCTTACATCAAGTATGGGCACCTTTAATATATAGTGAACAGTCTGTCTTCTGCCCAATAATCATTATTTATGGCATGAATGAATTTAACAAACCTAAAGCAGCACATATGTGTGTCTATAGATAAAAATGCTTACTTTGAATTAAGCTGTTAAATAATTCAAAGGGATAAAATATACTAAAACTCTGGGAAAAAAAGCTTTGTAAAGTATTATTAACATTGTGTACAAGACTGATACTTATTCATTAAGCTCTTGGCTTCTCACTCCCAGATTACTCAAACCCTTAATTTTTGGGTAAGGAAAGCATGTGAAATCGAAGCCAATGCAATTTCCATTGAAAGAGTTTGTGAATATGAAAATATGGATAAAGAGGTAAGCACTCATGAATAACCAATGAACAGATACAGAATTTAAGATATTTCAGTGCACCTTGAATGGACATTGTGAAAATCAATTCTCAACAAAACCTGTATTTGTTATAAAAATGAAACATGATCACCTGTTTTTAAGAGGCACAGTGATTTGTCCCCTATCAATGTAGAGTAAAATATGCAACCTCTAATTGCAACTTTGTAAAGATTTTACATTGAAAAGTGTCTTAATATAGTCATCTATTAATTATTTAGAGTCTGATTGTATAATTAAAAAATTAAGTACGCCTTTATTGTTTATACCTTCTGTTCCATGTACTCATCATTAGCATCTCTGTGGATGGGAAGGCGGAGGAGAATAAATCAGTCTGCTCTTTTTCCCTTTAATTAAGTATAATTTGAGGGACAGATGAGTGAGACTATTGACAGAGTATAATGGTTGCATTATCTGCATATTTTGTTAATCTCAGTTACTTCTGTCTCCCAGTTCCATGAATTAACAGGGCAGATGATAAAGGGTATATGTTGAATTTCTATATCTTCTTCAATCCGCCTATAAAGATATCTAAATCTTCATGAAAAATTTCTCCTTTGCTCACAACTCAGGACGGTGTGTTCCTCCTCCAAATAAAAACCTACAGATTTCCAGTTGTATTTTTGGTAGCATCTCTTCATGTCTTTTCTCAGACCTTGTTCCATTAACCATCTTCTCCAAGTCCTAACTTCAGCACCCTAACCCCTTGCTCCTTTCAATCTACAAATATGCTAAAATATTTTCTGCATACTCCAACTCCTACCTAAATGTTGATTCTTCCTCCAGATTCTTCCCTGAGTCTTTCCTTCATTTTTCATACAAATTTCTTGAAAGATTAGTCTACCTTCACAATAATAATCATAAATATTTAGTTTGTCCAGACTACTGCTATGTAATGACTCTATAAAAATTTTATCATACTCAGGACTTCCCTGGTAGTCCAGTGGTTAAGATTCCACACTTCCAATTCAGGGAATGCGGTTTTGATCCTTGGTCTGGAAACCAAGATCCCACATGCCACGTGGCATGGACAAAAGAAAGGAAAAAAAAAGTTATTGTTTTCTCTATTTTCTAAACCTTTTGCTATTAATATATATTTTTTATTTTGGAGGAAAAAGACAATAAAATGTGTGTGCACACACAAACACACATTTTAAAAAATTACCTTTATATAATTTGATGCCTTGTAAGGTAACAGAAACCTATATGCAGGTCAGGAAGCAACAGTTAGAACTGGACATGAAACAACAGACTGGTTCCAAATAGGAAAAGGAGTACGTCAAGGCTGTATATTGTCACCCTGCTTATTTAACTTATATGCAGAGTACATCATGAGAAACACTGGGCTGGGAGAAGCACAAGCTGGAATCAAGATTGCCAGGAGAAATATCAATAACCTCAGATATGCAGATGACACCANGAGGGATTGGGAGCAGGAGGAGAAGGGGACGACAGAGGATGAGATGGCTGGATGGCATCACCGACTCGATGGACATGAGTTTGAGTCAACTCCGAGAGTTGGTGATGGACAGGGAGGCCTGGCGTGCTGCGATTCATGGGGTCGCAAAGAGTTGGACATGACTGAGCGACTGAACTGAACTGAACTGAACTGAACTGAACTGAAGGTAACAGATAGCATTATAAAAACTCTTGATGTGGAAAAAAGTAAATACATCCAAATAACCATATTTACTCTTTAATAGCCCCATTTCTCTGCTCCTCCTTTACAGCAGAATTCTTGGAAATAGTTCCTGTACTTGCTCTGTCTGACTCCTTTTCTTATTCTCTTTTGGAACTTCTTCTTCACACAGGCTTTAGCTCCCATCACTTCTCTGTGCCTGCCCTGGTCAACATCACTAGTGGCAGCCTCTCAGTCTTCACTTTACCTGGCCTGTCATTTGATGCTTGTGATCACTTTCTTTCATGAAAACATTTCACCTCACTGGCCGGGCATCACACTCTTCTGTGTATTCTACCTCCTGTTCTTCCTTCCGTGTCTCAGGTCCTCAGCATATGTACCTAGCTTCTTTTACCTGGAAAGCCCTTCCTCTGATATCCAAATTGCTTTTTTCCCGATCATGTCCAGTCAAGACTTTCTTAACCAGCCTACTTAAAATTACACCAACACTGCCTATTTCCTGACCTTCAAAACCTTATCACCAACTAACATTCTGCATGGGCCTCTGTGGTGGCCAGTGGTAAAGAATCCAATTGCCACTGCGGGAAACACGGGTTTGATCCCTGGGTCGGAAAGCTCCCCTGAAGGAGGAAACAGAAACCCACTCCAGTATTCTTGCTGGGATAATCCCATGGACAAAGAGGAGCCTGGAAACCTACAGTCCATGAGGTCACAAAAGAGTCAAATACCACTTAGCAAGTGAGCAACAGTAGCAACAATATTCTGCATAGGCTGTGTGATTCTTTCTGTCTCTCCTCACCAGCAAGTACCCTCCCGAAGGGAGAGTTTGTGTTCATTATTTATTATGTTTTTCTCACTGCCAAATCTCCAACAACTAAAGCATTGACTGGTGCAGTAAACACTCAGTATTTGGGAAATAAATAACAAACTGTCCCTTGTCAGTTAAAAGCCTAGGTTACCTTTATCTCCTTTATAAAGTTATAGAAGTTTCTTGATAACTTAATAGAAGATGGGAAGCCTTTTTAATGTGTGAAAATTGATTTATAAAATCTTCTTATAACTAGATGGGAAGTTTTACATTGGTATTATTTAAAAATATTTTCATAAAAATCATAATATTTACAAATGTTGTCTTTCCTCATTTTTGTTTCATCACTTCTGTTTTCATGCCTGAGAGTTATTTTTTTTTGGAGGGAAGGTATTTTTATTGTAATTGCAGTTTAAAAAATATTTCTTTGTTTTAAGGCACCCTGGATAACGTCTAAGAGGCCTCCATCACAATGGCCCAATAAAGGGATAGTGGAGTTTGTTGATTATCGAGCTCAATACCGAGATGATCTTGGTTTAGCATTACAAGATATCACTTTCCAGACTCGTGGGGAAGAGAAGGTACCATAAATATTTCATAAGTTTCACTTTACCTTTTATCTGAATATATTTATTCTCAATGCCAAAATATACTGTGGTATTTAGTATAAGATGGTCATTTGTTCAAATTTCATTTAAAAGTAGTAAAGACATGGTTGGCATGTAAAGAATAAGTTTTTCCTCTACAAATAAAAATATATATTTTAAATTTTACATAATCTATTATGAAACATGATTTTACTGTTTTTACTACATTGAGGTATAATGAACAAATGAAACTTGTATATATTTAGAGTGTACAGTGTACATAGAGTGTACAGCTTGATATGCATAAATTGTGAAATGATTATCATAATTTTAAGCACTTAAGATCTCTTAGCAAATTTCTGTGTTATTAACTATAGTTACCATGCTATGTCTTAGATATCTAGAATTTATGTGACTTATACTGAAAGTTTATACCCTTTGACCAGTATCTTCCCATTTTTTCCACTCAACCCCTGGTAACCACCATCTACTGTCTGGTACTGTGAGTTTGACATTTTGAGATTCCACATATAAGTGAGATCATAAAATATTTTCCTCTGTCTGGCTTCTTTTGCTTAGCATAATGTCCTACAGGTTCACCCTTGTTACCATAAATGGCAGGATTTTCTACATTTTTTATGGCAGAGTTATATATGTATATATATACTTTCTTTATCCATTCATCCATAGCACATATTTCTCTTCATCATACAAATTTCATTTCCTTTCCTGGCTACACATCCAGTATTATTAGTATATTTTATATTTACTTCCTCTAGTAAGTGAAGTGCAACAATAAGACAGTTATATAATAGTTACTATCCAGTAATACACAGGTGAGATTATTTGTATAGTCAGTGACATCATGTTTTCCAAGACTATCAGTGAAGTGGGAAAATGCTTGAGATGTAATTTAGTTAGTAAGAACAATATACAAATCTGTTGGCAGTGTATAATTTTTGTGTTTTAAAAAAGCAAACAAATAGACATATTACTAATAGCAAAAAGAACGGTTACAAAATATAAACAGTGATTCTCTCCAGGTGTTGGGATTTTAGATGATTTTTGCTTCTATATTTTCCCCACACTTTTTCAAAATGTTTTATGAAAACATATTATTTCCCTGATCAGATTGATATTTTACAAATAAATAAAGGTTAAAAAATAAATTTTAATGAACAGCAGTGTTCCACTTTCCCCTTTCCTGAGACTTGTTTCACATAACCCCAGATTCTCCCTTTCTGACCCTCTAAACCAGGTCCACTGAGGTGGCCTCAAGGACAAATTAATTTTTTGGAAATAATTGTGGAATTTTAATTGTTCTATTTTATTCAGTGTATTCCTGGTTTTTCTGGTGTAGTATGTCAGATTTAAGATTTAAGATCTTTAATTAGGACAAACCAACCACCGAATGTTCTCTCCATCCAGTGTTTGCATTAACACCAAGACACTAACCAACACCCAGAAGAGGTTGCTTTAGATCTCATGGCCAAAGGAACACTGCAATCACCGGAGGCTTCTGACAAGCTGATTGTTTTTGTCCAAGAGTCCAAAGTCCTCAGACATGATCTATGACCACCCTTAGTAGTTTTGATGCAATAGTTGTTTTGCAGGCATTCCTTTAGATTTTCTAGCCTGTCTCAGCAAAGGGTTCCCATCTCCTTTGTTTATTTGTTTGTTTGTTTTGGAGGAAGAATGGTAGAGAAGCCTCATCCGAGTCTCAGGGAAACAACCCCATCATCAGTCTTTCTTTAATTCCCACATTTAATGGCTAGTTCAGGGATGGTTCAGGGATGATCTGCTCTGCCTGGGGCAGTTCTTGTTGGGTGATAACTAAACTACTCAAAACTGGAGGAAACACACAAATTAGCCCAAGCCTTTCTAGTGAGTAAAGTGAAAGTGTTAGTTGCTCAGTTGGGTCCGACTCTTGGCAACTCAATGGACTGTAATCCACCAGGCTCCTCTGTCCATGGAGTTCTCCAGGCACTAATTCTGAAAAGAATTGCCATTTCCTTCTCCAGGGGATCTTCCCTATCCAAGGATCAAACCCAGGTCTCCCGCACTGCAGGCAGATTCTGTACCTCTGAGCCACCAGAGTAAGTAGTATCTAAATAAAGATGGATCCTTGAAAGTCACCTTAAGTCTTCCATGATAGTCAAGTTTACTCTAGTTGGCAGTTAGATTCCACTTACCAGACACATAATGTATTTTTTGTCAGTACAAAGGTCTTCTTCCCTTACACAAAGTGCGATGTCAATTATTTATGATAAATTCATTACAGATTGGAATTGTGGGACGAACTGGAGCAGGCAAATCAACACTATCAAACTGCCTATTTCGAATTGTAGAAAGATCAGGAGGTAAAATTATAATTGATGGAATTGACATATCTACTATTGGGCTTCATGACCTTCGTGGCAAACTTAATATTATTCCACAGGTAAAGACTGTTTTGCTGCTAGCCTTTCTTAACTCCCTCTGGTAAACTTCTTTTTTTTGTTTTTTTTTTAAGAATATATTCCTTTCAAGCCTATACATTTGAATTTGAGAGCCAAATTATTTTAAATATATTGTGAAAAATAACTATGTAATTAAATCCTATTAAATACTCTACCCTGATGCATTCTTCCTAAGTACATTTATCTATTTGAAAAACTAGTATGTTGCTTTGCAAGTTTCCTTCATGATAGTAAATACAAATAAAATTCAAATGAAGAAATCAGACTGAAACACACTGGTATTGTGTGAAAAAAGCAATTAGTGAGGCTTTTGCTTAGTTGGTACTTTGAATGTAGAATTTTGACTTTTTGACTTGAGGTTTAGAAATATTTTTAAAAAATGAAAGGAACCATAATTCAGTTAGATCTTTCTTCCCAACTCCTTTGATTTTTCCATCTGTGGCATCAAAGGAACTTGATCATTAATAAGTATGCAAATTGGCTCAATAATATGCTTCTACAGTCAAATATGACTCATTCAGTTGTGTTTGAAAGATTCGAGCTGAGAATTTATGAACTATGTTTATATTTGCTTCTAAAAATGCTATCAACTCTTTGTCATATTGTTTAAACATATACTGGCATTCATGAATTTACTTTGGAACAAATTTAAGTAAAATCTATAATTCTGGCAGGGAAAAAAATTTGGTGGAGAAAAGAAGTAATCATTCCTTTCTTATAAATCAAAACAGGTGTAGTAAAATGCAGTTTCACTAGATGTGTAAATATATTGGGAAAAGCATGGACTTGTCTTTGAATTCTGCTTAAGCACTTACTTTCTGTGTGTCCTTGGACAAGAGCTTTTTGAAACCTCTAGTTCGCTGTCTAACAAGGGTGTTTGCTTCCTTATTTCTGGGTTGGTAGGCTAATTGATAATATTATATACATCCTATAGATACATTTATTCTATTCTTCTCTATATTATATATTACATTGTTGTTTAGTTGCTAGCTCATGTCTGACTCTTTTACAACCCCTTGGATTGTAGCCCACAAGGTTTCTCTGTCCATGGGATTCTCCAGGTAAGAATACTGGAGTGGATTGCCATTTCCTTCTCCAGTTGATCTTCCCAATGCAAGAATCAAACCCCCGTCTCTTGCATTGGCAGCCGGATTTTTTTTTACCGCTGAGCCACCTGGGAAGCCCATATTGTATTATATCCCTGACTCTGTCATCATTATTATTGTGTTTGGAAAGCTGTTGTCAACATTATTAACTAGAGAAAGAAGAAGAATCAGGAAGTTTATAATGATTTAATCAAACGCAGCTTATACTGATCTTCTGCCTTTGGTTTCAATATAAAATGAATTTGATAACTATTTAGTTTTTCATCATTTTGCTTTTTCCTTATTTAATGTGTGCATGCCTCATGTGACAGTAAGATTACCAGTGATTGTTCTATTCTCTAGGATCCTGTTTTATTTTCTGGAACCCTTCAAATGAACCTGGATCCCCTAGACAAGTATCCTGATCATGAGCTATGGGAGGTGCTGGAACTATGTCACTTAAAAGAGTTTGTGCAGTCCCTTCCCAAGAAGCTGCTGCATGAGATTTCAGAGGGTGGTGAAAACCTCAGGTAAGCTGCGAAGAACAGGGTTTGCCTGAGTTACTCACTCCAGGCTTTTTAGAAACAAGTTGGCCCCAGAGGGAAGGCACTCCTGAGCCACCATGGATTTTGTTGTTCAAAGTACATCATTTGCTGATTCCTTCTAGAGAAGAGAGACAAGGAATAAATAAAATGGTCACCACTCGCTGGAAAACTGCTGGTGAAGGAAAATGAAGGGGAAAGAAAGCAACAATGCAGTGTGGAAAGTCATTAGTTAACTGACTCTTCTTTAGTAAAGACTCCTACCCTAATAGCTTTCTTCCTAAAAATGTTTGCGCAAACTCTGGGAGATAGGAAGGACAAGGAAGCCTGGCATGTTCCAGTCCATGGGGTTGCAAAGAGTCAGACATGGCTGAAAGACTGAAAAACAACAAAGCACTGCGTCTTCATCACTATTTGATGTCTTAGGACAGTCTGTTTATGTGATCAGAAACCTAAGGAAGATCAATTAGACCCTCTCTGCGCCTAAGAGACACAGCCTGCATGACTCAGCTGCTTCTTTGCTTACTGCCCACTCTCCCTCTGTTTCTGCCACCTTGGCCTCCTTGGCTCCTTATAGTACCATGAATATGCCAGGCCAGTTCCTGCCTGCCTCAGGAATTTTACATCTGCCAATCACTTTGCCGGGAGTAAGTTCCCATTGGAAATCTGCAGGATTCACTTTCCATTTTCTCCAGGTCTTGAATTTAAAGGCATCGTCTCAGTGAGGATTTCTTTGGCATGCTCATCAAAAATGTCCACCCCATGCCCACATTTTACATCCTGCCTTTCTGTATATTCGAATTCTTCTTATGCCTTTTGCTCCTTTATCTTGCTTATTTTTTTTCTCCCCATGTAAACCCACAGACTTTTGTCTGTTTAATTCATTGTTCTATTTGCAGAAATTGAACCAGAGTCTGGTATAATCGCTCAGGGAATACTTAAAGAGTGAATGAATGTGGCTTAGGAAGAGAATAACAATGTCATCAGAATTTTAGAATAGGAAGTGTGTGGCCACAAAATCCATTGTTGAGATCATTTTACTATTTTTTATAACAGTGTTGGACAACGACAGCTCGTCTGTCTTGCTCGTGCTTTGCTGAGAAAAACAAAAATTCTCATCTTGGATGAGGCAACAGCTTCCATCGATTTTGAGACTGATAACTTGGTGCAGACCACAATCAGGAAGGAGTTTTCTGATTGCACCATCCTGACAATTGCTCACAGACTGCACTCTATCATTGATTCAGACAGGTATGCTTTATTTGTTTTCAGAAATAAAACAATTTCTATAGAGATAGCTATTGCACATCTGAAACACAGTAATTACTTGCCACTAAAAACGGATTTTATTTGTGCTGAGAGATACAAAGTGTCCCCTAATAGTATGGAAGATACTTTCCAAAATAATTAGAGGAATGCTTTAATGCTAAGAGAATATTAGAAAACTTGATGTATTTCCTGAGTCAAATTGTACTTTTATTTCGTACTGACAGACCTTACCTAGTAATTTAAATTTTACAGTTGCAAGAACAAGAGAGGTGAACTGAAACACTGATTATAGGTTACCTGACTGGATTCTTTTCACATTGCAGGGTACTTGTTCTAGACTCTGGAAGAATTGCAGAATTTGAAACACCACAGAATTTGATACACAAGAGAGGCCTTTTCTTTGACATGCTAACAGAAGCTGGAATAACACGAGACTCAGGGGTGAAAAATAAATAGTTTATATATGGATTACACCAAATTAAAAAAAAAAGTATTTGAAAAAATAAAGACAGGAGAGAAATGTCAAAAAGTAGGCCTATGTTGGCACAAATAGAGATAAGCACCATAGTTCTAACCATCCTGAGCTGTGCCCAACCTTTTTTCTTCCATTCATGCCCTCCTGAATATCTGCCTTTTCCTGATTGCCCAAAGTCCAAAATGCCACCTATCCTTTAAGTCTCTGACTTTGTTCAGGAGTTATCTTCTGCACAAAGTATCTCTTGGTTTCTCTCCTTGGTCCCCTGTCTTATCTAGATGCCCTTTTGCTATGCTCTGACTAGCCCTATGTGCATAACTTTATCATGGCAAGGACCAAAATCTGTTTAAATTCTTTTAGTGTGCTCCCCTTAAAGCTACTTGAAGGCAAATGCCCAGTTTTATCATCTTTGTATGTTAGGCTGCTAGCATAGTGCTTTCAGGTTGTTGATACTCAACAAATATTTGTAGAATAAATCATTAGGCATTTTAGAGTAATACTGTATAGGCACCTATACACATATGAACAAAGTTTTGAATTACTGTACAATATATAAAATTTCGGAGGAATCACAGAAAAACTTTGAGTTATTCAGCTGCTTTTTTGAAAGAGAAAGTATATGTTAATTGAATTTTATGATGTGCTTTATTTAAAAATAATATTTATAATATTTTTACTATTTGAGTAAAAAGCCAGTATTTTCTATGGAATGTCATTTTTGACTTGATGAAGCTCAGTGAGTTATGTATCAGATGGTATACTTTCACAAGTAATTATTAGTTTGTGGTATGATTATATTTTGAATGCCTTTTTAATTTGGTAGTTTTATGTAATAGCAACATTATTTCTCTGAATTGCCCTTCAAATTTGAAGTTTCCAAACCTCAATTATATTTTCCTTTCAAGATTATTTTAATAAAATGTTTTAACCTGTTCAGACCCATCAGTCTGTTTCTTTTATCCTCTTTTTCTCCTTAACGACTTTGCATAACCTTGCTTCATCCCCTAAAGGTATTTATGAAAAGTTAACTTAAATTGTAAAACCCTACATTATCTAAATTTTTCTTCCTTAAAACATTAGCTACTGAGAGTGTTGTCCTGTCTTTATAATTCCTGTAGTACTTACCACTATATTTTGTGTACAGTAGGCATTGAATAAATATCTATTGAAATCTGTTAAGAAAGGAATTGTATATTTCATTAACATCAGTTAAAGTTTATGTCTTAGCTTCTTTAAGTCTGTAATAAGTCAATCAGAGACACTCCATAATTTAAAATCTAGTGGGATGTCAACAGTCACCTGGAATATTGTGGTATCTTCATACCATGGAATTCTACACAGCTATGAGAGTGAATGAACAACCACTAAAAGCAATAACACCAATGAATCTCACATGCATAATGTGGAGTAAAAGAAGTAAAGCACAAAGAATATTCTTATATGATCCCATGATTCCACTGATACAAAAGTTTGTTTTTTAAAAAAGGAAAAGCCAATTATACTCCTAGAAGTTGGGATACTGCTTACTCTTGATTGTTGGTGTTAAGTCACTCATTCATGTCTTTCTCTTTGCGACCTCATGAAATGCAGCACACCAGGCTTCCCTGTCCTTCACTTCTCCCAGAGTTTGCTCAAACTCATGTCCATCGAGTCAAGGATGCCATCCAACCATCTCATCCTCTGTTGCCCCCTTCTCCTCCAGCCCTCAATTGTTCCCAGCATCAGAGTCTTTTCCAATGATGGGTAATGATTAAAAGGGTAAACAAGGTGGACTTCTGGAAAACAGTTATGTACTGTTTCTTGATCTGGGTCTGAGTATTGGTTCAGTTTGTGAAAATCATCAGGCCATATACTTAGGGTCTGTACAAATTTAGATAGACAGATTTATATATTTACCTCATGTATAGTATGGGCTTCCCAGGTGGTGCTAGTGGTAAAGAACCTACCTGCCAATCCAGGAGACATCAGAGATGCGGCTTCAATCCCTGGGTTGGGAAGATCCTCTGGAGGGCATGGCAACTCACTCCAGAATTCTTGTCTGGAGAATCTCATGGACAGAAGAGCCTTTTGGGCTGCAGTCTATAGGACTGCACAGTCAGAGGTGACTGAAGTGACATTAACATGTATGCATGCATGTATAATATAGTTTATATATCTACATATAATATAAACGTATTTATATAATATTTATATATTATTATATATTTATGTCATAAATATTTATATTTATATATTACAGTTAAATAAAGAATAAAAGAAAGTAAATTTTTAAATGACTAAGCCATTTATATATAATGGCTTTATATATCAGTATGTTTTTAAAAAAATTAGTATTTCATTCTAATTTCTGTTATGTCCATCAAGTTTGTTCAATCATATAAGTGGTCTTCGAAGAAAATGCGAAAAATTTAAAAGACTGGATTATAGAGAAGTAGTAAATTTAAACTTTGCTCAGTCCTGTCTGCCTCTATGTGACCCCGTGGATTGTAGTGCACCAGATTCCTCTGCCCACAGAATTCTCGAGGCATGAATACTGGAGTGGGTAGCCATTCCCTATTCCAGGGGATCTTCTTGACCCAGGGATCAAGTCTGGATCTCCTGCATTTATTAAATGATTTATTTATTTCAAATTGTAACTTAAAAATAGATTAAGAAAAGAATTATCATTTTTGACATGCAGAAATATTCACGTTAGCTAACAGAAGGAAAATTCTAAGCAGCATTAAGTTGAATTATTTTAGGATAAGAATATTCATTACTGAAAGCCCACTATATGCCAAGTGATATACAAAGCACTGGAATAATGTATTACTTTCAATTCTCACTTATGTTCTTTACATAAGGATGGTATTACTACCTACCCTATTTTATCAAACATGATAAGATACAAAGAGGCTCTTAGCCCACAAATTATAAAATCCAGACACAGGTGACTATAAAACTGTTGATGCTCTTTTCTGTTCTCTAATAATATGTCTGATTTCTGGAAGAGCCACTTAAAGAGTCTATAATTAAAGACTGGGAGAGAAGAATTTTAAACCAATAGCTTTGAAATAGATAAACGACATTTGTCTTGGGGGCAGGGTTCTTCTACAAATATAGTATTAGTTAAACCCAAATGAATTAGTCATTATTGTAGGTAAAAAAATTGTTGAATAAAGGCAATTTCATATACTTTTCAATTTAACTTTGATATCCAAGTTAGTGTTACGAAGATGTAATGAAGTATTTTAATACACATGAAAATAACAAATAGTTCTAACTGATCTAGAGGGCTTTTATTCTGGGAAAAACAATCAAGAAAGTTAAAATAAGAAAATTTTATCATAGTTGAAAGAGTTCAGAATCTAGAGACAGAGTATCTATGTTAAATCTCAACTCCACAACTTTCTAGATGTGCAAACTTGGGCAAATTAACTTATTTCTCTGAACTTATTTGGGTGTAAGAATTTTATCTACCCCTTAAAGTTTCTTTTTTGGAAATTAAATGAGATAACACAACATTTATGACAGATAGAACACTTTATGGAATATAGAAAATATTTAATAACCATTTAATAACCATTTAAATATTAACATTCACAGTTTCTTGTAGTTATATATAGTCTCATGTTTACAGACAAGATCACACAGGACACAGCTTTAAGTAAACATAAAGGGTGAAACAGACAATACTTATGATAGTCTATTGTATACACAGCAACTTGGGGATAATTGGATATTAAAATAAGATATGGTCCTCAATTGTGTACAATATGATCTTGGTGAGATTCAGCAACATTGAGAAGGCAGTAGTAGGGCAAATCTCTTTCTAGTCCTTCCAGTTATCCTAGCACTTGCTTTTCTAGCTGTCATTTTCCAAGCAAGTAGACCATGTGTGGACTATAGAAATCAGGACTTCTGGCAATATTCTGAGCCACATTTCTCTAAATTGTTTTCATGAAAATGAAGACTACCTCGGTAGTTTGTATGGCAACTGGTATGCTATTGGGTTAATAGTGCCAAGGTAATGGGTAATGAGCCTCGTAAAGGCTGATTGGTTTTGTAGCCAAAAGTGGGGTCTGGCTGCAACCTCTCAAAAAGCCAATGAAGTGTCAAGGTTGGTGTAAAGGAAAGTTTGCTTTATTTTGTATGTGGACAATTGGGGGCAGGGGGAGGACAGACTCCTGTCCAAAGACCAATTCCCCCCAGCTCCAACAATCAGGGAGCAAGAGCTTTTACAGATGGAGGGAGATAAATACAGAAACAGCATAGTTAGCTCTGATAGTCACCTTGAAATTGGTTGGTGGTCTGACCAGCATCATCTTGATTGTTTTAAGTAAAGTTAATCTTCAATTCCAAGGCCACTTTGTTTCCATTTCTTGAGGCTTGTTCTCAGAATTGTTGGCTTATGTCATGGCTAAAGTCTGATCATCATGTAGTTAATTTCTCCACCTGGTGGGGTGGTTTCAGCATCCATAAAACAGCTTACAGGATGTGGCTCAGAATATTATCTACAGCCTTTGAGAAGAAACTGAAAGTCCTTGACTATTCTTAATGAGTACATTTTATTATTTGGTCTCCTTTGACTGTTTTCCATTGTTTCTGTATGTTCTCACACCTCTGATTAGGCTTATTCTTTGGTAAAAGTTTTTCCACAGACAAAAGTCAGGCAGAGGACATGGAGAACAAGGATCCATAGGGTCCTGCTCCATTTCAGCTTCTCTTGTTAATGATTGCTGACTAGGTAACCAAGCTTGCTCACTTGCTATTTACAGACTGACCAGTTTGAACCCAGGCTTAGTTATCATAGCTGATCAATGATAGTAACATTTTATCTCATGAGGGCAGCACAAGAGAAAAATAAAAATGAATAGGCATATGAGCAAAATGTAAAAACAACATCATAAACTAAAAAATTATTTATGATATTAGTCAAAAATTTGAAAAATGTTTCCAAAACATTTAAAAGGAAAATGACATATACGCAATTTTGTGCGTCAAGGGAAGGGATACAGGGTTGATTTTGAGTTCATATTTATAGCACTCAGCTTGTCATTAATATACTTGGGGATGACTATGGGTTTATTGCTATTTTTCAACTCTTGATAGACACAATAGAAAATGTGATGTGGTCATCAGAGAATAAGACTAAAGGAATGCTTGAGAATGTGTTACAGTGGAGTACCACAGAAACTAGGCATAAATATTAATCCAGCTTTAGTCAACACTGATTCTGTCTGAACATTTGCTTCTGGCTTTCTTCTGTTCTGAGCATTTGTGCAGCAATCTCCAGGTGTTACACAACAGACTGCTTTCTGCTGGAGCTATGATTTTACAGAGATAACAGACAGGAATTAATGTCGACCATGATGCATAAGGTCTTGGAAAAACTGTTTCATGTATTTTCTTCTACTTTTTACTTAAAACTCTTCATTTTTATTCCATCTTGGCCAGAAGCAGAAGTCCAACAAATGACAATTTGACAAAATGTTTAACCATAAATTAAGGGTCAAAGGTTCAAAAAACACAAACAAGGAAAACAAAGAAGTGTAAACAACTAAGGGGCTTGTTTTTCTTAGGTAGAAAGAAGTCCCAAGGTAGAAAAGACAAAGATGGCCAGAGCAGTTACATGACACCACTGGCTGCTTCTACCTTTGGCTCAACCACCCATTACATGTCTGTTGATTGTTACTTGCAAACCCATTGCTTTATCTCCAGCCTCATGCCTGTATTTCAAGAAGGTAGGTCAGAGTTATGTCACATACTCATCCGTAGCTGCAGAGGAAGCTAGAAAATAATTTTTAAAGTAGGGGATGTTGCCTCTCCAAAAAAACTCACTTCTGAAGTAAGAATGAATAGAAAAGATACTGCAGTAGCATTTAGCAGGATCTGCCACAACCATTTTTTTTGTTGTTGTTAGTTGCTAAATTGTATCCGACTCTTTAGGACCCCATGG